ACACGTGTGACGTTGTGACAGGTGACTTGGTAGCTAATGGAGTAGATTGGGCCTTCGGAATATGTGAAATGGGTTCATTAAGCCGTTGAATTTGGGACGTGTCAACATTTTCAGGAAATTAAAGGCTTGCGTACACATCTGTCCAAACGAGACAATTAATTTGTTTGTTATAGGTCACCAAACAAATCAGTGACACAAATTAGCAAATAAATACATATTTTTGGTCGAATTCATAGAAATTTCCGATTCACTGAATTAATATCAATAAATATCACGATAAATATGTTCAAAACAAACAAAAATTGTCAACATTCCCGGACATTTATTGGAAATAACTTAATATGCAGAAATAGGCAACCAATATTACGCGAAATATTTTTCACTTTGTCAACATGTGAAATTAACAGAATGTTTGACGTCTGAATGGTTCACTGAAATGGTGACGCATGCATTTTCTCTGGGGAGCATACTCAACGAGGTCCACAACTTTTCCACTTACAACTTGTTCAACTTTACTCTGACCCTCATCGTAAAGTGTTTTATGCGCAACTTTTTTTCATTGTCTTCTAAGATCTTCATCGTCGTCAACAGAAAAAAGTCAGCGAAATAAAATGCTTCAGAGCGTGTGTTTTTAATAAACGTTTTAAGCGTGCAGGAAACAAGTCTTCAGAAAGCGCTACAACAAGGAAAACGTTTGTACAAGGTACAGAAGGGAAGTGGAGCGCCCTTGAGAATGCATATCAAGTCACATCTTCGGGCGGGATGAAAATTTCTTCAATGGATGAATAATGTCAGGAATAAAACTAAAACAAGCTTCGCTTCTTTTTTAAACCTTTTGCGTCGCTTGCAACACAGGTACATAAGTTAGGTTATGTTAAATATTCTCTATCTGAAGGCTAAATGAAAAACCTGAGTGCGCCATATTACTTTACCGATTGTATCAGTTTCAGCTTGCTTTTGTTTCGCCAACGATGGGAACTTATGAACTCGCTAATTAAACACTGAACGCGTGCATTTTGTACGACGACGCGTTTAATGGAAAAAGTTTCCGAAAAAGAAGAAGTGTAATCGCGCCCGCGTTGGCAATTAAAAATATGCAAAGTCTTCTTTGGCGCCCACGGCCTTGCAATCCGTCTCGCATTGTACGCGAGAAAACAAAACGCGCGCACGCTCCGGATGGCGGAAAGCGAAAAGAAAGGAACACGTCTCGGGCGTAAAAAAAAATGCCAGCCGCGCCGAGAATGCCAAATTGAGACGAGCTGCGACGAGAAAGAACGAAACTAGAGCCTTCATTAATTATAATTGTCCGCTATGTGTTCGGCCCCGCTCTCTGCTGGTCGGTAGATATTTCATACACTATGTACAAGGTGAAATGCGATTAAATTAAAACAAATTAACAACGGTTATAAATTAAATGAATCATATTGTATATTCTTGGGTTAGGAAAAATGTTGTGTTGGTTTAATTACAGGTAATTTTTAGATTTAAAACATAGCGTATCGAAATTTCAACGCCAGCGTCATATTTTTTAATTAATGCTTCAAGTACCTGCAATTGCGTACCATTAAATCCAGCTAAATGCATTTGATGTGCATTTGGTGAAGGTTAGGTTAGTTTTAGGTTAAATAATATAAAAATGAATCGCAAAATCTGTTGGTAGGAGCATAACTCAACAACGCCTAAACCAATTTGGCCAATTCTTTTTTAAAATATTCATTATAGTCCAAGGATGGTTTTTACGGCGAGAAAAATTTGAATAATTACCGGGAAAACCCTTAAGACAGCCCTTTTCTGTAGGATAAAAGTTGACATTGAGATTCAATCATAGTTATAGTTAAATAGTTGAATCCGAGATGGCGCGTGAAGTACATTATAAGCAATTCTTTTTTATAATTAATATCTTTAAAATTAAATTACGAATCTTATTGATGGAATTGACACATACTATGTCTAGAACAAGAGAGTTAAAAACAAATTACATTTTTATTAAACACTACCGGGACAAAGTCGCGGACAAAAGCTAATATTATAATATAATATAGGCTAATATGATACAAGTGATGTTGGTTGCCTACAAACAGTGATACACTGAATTCCCCAAAGGAAAAGCAGCTTTCTAGACATTTATCACCCACCTGTGTCGCTGCCTAAATCATTTAATGATAGTGTTGTAACGTGTAGTGTTGTTGAAGCGATGTCTCCGATCCAAGTTTGGAATCGCGTCTACTCGTATTTAAATCACTAATCAGATTATGTTGAATTTAATAAAGCTCTTCCGTCGAGAACTTCCTCGAAGTTGGCTTGCGCTGCTTTTGTGCCAGCGAACAAACACAGAAAGACAGACAGGAAAGCGGGAAGCGGTAAAGCTATGAACATGAAGTTTGCGCATCTCGCTTTTTGGGGACCCGATAGAGGAAACCCAACCTAATGGAATATAGGCGCAGCACCGCATGTGTGATGTAGGTGAACGCCGTGGTGGTGAATTGCGCAAATGTCAAACAGTCAGGTGCCCGCATCGCAATCGCAAAGTTGAAATGCTTCGGGAGCTGGAAGCAAATATGCGAAGCAGCCGCCGGGTGTTGTGTATTGATGAATGTTTTGCCGTTTTGGAGACACACGCATTTCAGGGTATTAGTGGAAATGGAAATGTGAGGCATCGAAGGATGTGATGGTGGTTGCGAGCTTCCTAAATGGCACGAATGCGTTGTGGTCAGATAATACGATTATTAATGGTATCCGATTCTCAGAGTATTCCTGTCCTTCATTTACAGCAATTAACTATGCGACTATTCTAGTTCGCAGGATTCCGTCCTGACTTGTTGAAATTCACGAATTAATTTCATCGCTCATATCAGGTTATGTTCTGTCATTCTATTTCTGGAAATATTTTAACCTAAAAATTTCTACATGTAATATATTTAAGGTTATTTGATGTGACGTCATATTCATCCGCTTCATTTCCATCTCATCACTCAGCTTGTAAATGAAATTATGAGACGTTGTTAACGTAAAACAGGAAAGTATCAAAGTAATACGAACGTATACTCTTTGTTGAAGTCTCCCGCTTGCAAATTAGAAAATTATGAATTTGTAAAGGCGTCGTCATGCGAGAGTGCAATTCGAACATGTAACTTGTGAAATTGTTCAGTTGTTCACTTGGTTATAGTGTGAGTGATTGCATGGCAGCGCTCGTAAAACAGACGCCAACGTATATACGAAGTACCGCAAACTTATCTCTTGTTTCTTTCCTGTTTAGCGTGTGCTTCGTCGCTGACACATTGCGCAATATTGAATTTACGAGCCAGCCCACACGACAAACTTTTTACCTGACGTTGTTTTCGGTCTTTTTCATCCTTTTCTCCACCGCGTCTTCCTGGAACTTCAGAAGATCCCGAAGGATGCACTCGCGATCAAGCATAGTCTAATGCTTTGCATGGTGGTTATTTATATACATGCAGGTGGTTTCCAGTGGGGTGAGGGTAGATGATAAGCCCTGGGGAACACAAAAAGTTGAAAAATCCTTGTCCTAGATCCTTTATGTTTTGCCGGTCTTAACTAGCGATGCGTCATCGGTGTGCGGTTTACGCTTGACCGAACACGATCAGGATGCGCCGTTACAATATTACGGATGAGCGATGAGGATGCGGGCGAAGACGACGGCGTTGGTGTAGCTGTAGCAGGAGACAAACAGGCTGCAAACTTGAAATTGCCTCCGCGAACAAAAACAACGCTTTATTAAAGACCAAGATCAGCCGCTGCAACTAAGCCTAGATTTCGAAGACAAACAGGATCTTGTATCATGTGCTAAATTTAGAAATTTCTTGTTTAGTGTGTGTATGTGTGTTTATAATTCCGTAATTCTGGTGTAATTAATGCCTATATTGTTTGCTACGTGCATCACGTGTTGACTATCTCTAAAATGGTATAAAATGCTGTGCGGAAAGCTCGATCATGATTGTAATTTGTAGGTAGTTGTGGTTCGAACCACAGCGCGCGGTTTCGTCTATAAGTACTACATAATTCGTTTGGGTTATGTTCGATTTTAGAGAGAATATTAATCTATAATATAAAAATTAATCGCAAATTCTGTTGGTAAGCGCATAACTCAACAACGCCGAGACCAATTTGGCCAATTCTTATTTTAAAATGTTTGTTAAAGTCCAAGGATGGTTTTAACGGCGAAAATTCGAATAATTGCCGGGAAAACGTTAAAAACAGCCCTTTACTATATAGATAAAAGTTGACATTGAGATTTAATCATAGTTATAGTTAAATAGTTGAATCCGAGATGAAGCGCTGAAGTGCATTATTAACAATTCTTTATATAATTAATTTCTTTCAAATAAAATTGCGAATCTTATTAATAGAATTGACACATGCTATGTCTAGAACAAGAGAGTAAAAACAAATTACATTTTTATTAAACACTATCGAGACGAAGTCGTGGTCAAAATCTAGTTTTAAATAAATGAAAATTGCTAAAATGAACTTTAGCGCCATCTCTGATTGAATTGTATAACTATATATGCGATTAAATCTATATATCAATTTTTATCCCTTATTTAACACATTTGAAATCAAAATTTCCTATATTTTAATAGTTATTCTGTTATTCAGCACGAAAATAAATCAAACAAATCACAGATCATTAAAATCTCGTCAGGTATTCTTGAGTTATAGAAGATGTAACCAACACTATTTTTTCCGATATAATTGAACGCTTTATATAACAAAACTTGTTGTTATATTTTTAATTTTATTTTAGAATAGCTCTGCTAGTACATCATTAAAAATACCCTCTTGAAAAAAGTAACATTAGTTGACTCAATGAAACAAAATAATATCGTTAAACGGAGTTTCCTTTTATATCCAAAGAAAGTTATTTTTAGAAACTGTGTTTGACTATATATATACCATCCCCTAAAAGCAATAAATATGCAAATTCTTCCAGTTGATATACATTTACCTACGACTAATGTGCCCGCCATCTCTCTTTCCAGGCTGTGATTTTCGATGAAATCGAACTCACCGACCTGTGCCTAGCCGAGTGTTCTACGAAAAACGTCAATCATAGTTTTCAGGTGAGTAGTCACGGCTGACTTTTACACGTTTTACTCCTTCTATCACATTTGGGTGCGAGTCACGTGCCTGGACATTAATAGTGACATTAGATTAACGGCGCGTTTGCCGAAATAACCGACGCGAAACTTCCGGCGAAGCTTTTAGCTTTTTGACGCGCTCTTTTGTGCCCGCACTGAATTGCAAAAGATAATTGGATCGCGCGGATCACACACAAGTTGGTCGAAAGTGCGTTCATAAAACCAAAACGTTCCGAGCGGCTTTTGGGTTTTTATCAGCGCGCGTTCAGGCCGACGAGGATCATAAAAGCAAATTTATAATTAAACTGTTACGCGATTAACTTATCCGATGATTCAATTATCGACGCATGGATTTGCATCGCCAATGGATTGAAAATTTTATTAGAAAAATAAAAATTTGTCACTTTTTGAGTGAAATTTTAAAGAAAATTGAAGAAAAATAAATTTCAAAATTGATTGTACGTGTTTAGGTTGACCTTTCTTAAGAATTCTATTTCGAGTTGAATCTCGTAAGCCACGTGCCACGTGCCCGCATTGAAAATGTCTTCACCTAATTATAATCAGGGTCCCAAAGTTTGCTAATGCGATGTATACTCCCACCATCCTCGCTTGTTTCCCAATGCGATTCTAAAGTGTTAGGCGCTATTGTCGCAAGTTTTGATTAATAAACTTCACGCACGCCCGTTTGGTTGAAGAGCTGTTGTTTTGCGTTTCGCAGTTAATCACCCCGTTCCGATCGCTGGTGTTGTGCGCCGAGACACGCCGCGAGATGGAGGATTGGCTGGCGGCACTCAACGCCGCCTCACAGAAACGCTTCCACGAGCCGGATCAACCAGACTGTCTATCCGGATGCCATCATTGGTAAGTAACCGGAAATGCCGACATTCATTTCACTAATGATACACTGAACACCGGATTTTCGGCTTAATGGAATTTAAATTGAATTTTGTTTCTTTTTCGATTTAAATTTGATTCAATTTTAGTTCGGTGTTCAAAGAGCCGTTAAATGCTTAATTTCGCATCTGTCACATTCGATTTTCTAACTTGACGTGCGCCTCATTAACTTGTTTCGTAAAAGTTGCTGCGAATAATTTCGCGATGAGTTTGTACAAGGCGCACGTGCGCCTTCCGGCCGACTGTGCTCGGGAAAGAAGCAAAACAAATAGAAGCGAATTCGATTAAAATTTTAACCCTCGTATTTATTCCTGGGGTTGTGCGCGTTTAAGCCTGTTGGCGGGCAGCAACCACGTGCGATGTGCGAAAATTATACCCGTCACCCCGGGGCAAAGTGGGCAAAAGCGATAAAGTATCGCGCATCGCGGTCGCCGGCGCGTGGCACCAAAGTTTAATTGGAAGCGAACGACTAGTCAATATTATTTACAACTATTTTCTACTTGTATCTATGTTCCAGTCAGTTATACAATATTACAATATCTATAATATAAAAATGAATCGCAGAATCAGTTGGTAAGCGCATAACTCAACAACGCCTAGACCAATTTGGCCAATTCTTTTTTTAAATGTTTGTTAAAGTCCAAGGATGGTTTTTACGTCGAGAAAAATTTGAATAATTGCCGGGAAAACCCTAAAGAATTGACACATACTATGTCTCGAACAAGAGAGTAAAAACGAATCACATTTTTAGTAAACACTACCTAATTAAATATATTAATGTTAGGTTAGCTACTCATGACTTATGATTTATTTAGGTATGCAACTTCACATGCACGACCAACGTATTGTAATGTATGTAGAGATGCCCTCGGGGGTGTGACAAGCCATGGCCTCAGCTGTGAGGTGTGCAAATGTAAAGTACACAAACGCTGCGCTCCCAAAGCGATTAACAACTGCAAATGGACCACATTGTCTTCTGTCGGGAAAGAAATCATTGAAGATGCTGATGGTAACATTGAAATGCCTCACCAGTGGATGGAGGGTAACCTTCCGGTTTCCGCAAAGTGCGCATCATGCGATAAAAACTGCGGTTCGGTGCTCAGGTAAGCAATTCCACGCGTAATCCGCAAATGGAAATTTCCTATTTTGGTTTGGGTTTTCGACAGATTGCAGGATTGGCGCTGCTTGTGGTGTCGCGCCACTGTGCATACGCAGTGCCGACCATCATTTCTCGGAGCCTGCCCGCTGGGGGTGGCACGAGTAAGTGTTGTGCCACCTACGGCGCTCCACTCAATTCAGGATGAGGCATGGGAGGCCGTACGCCCGCAAGCCTCCTCGCCACTGCTGGTTTTCGTCAATTCCAAATCAGGTCAGCCCGCCACTTTCACTTTCTTTTTTCCTACCACTCACCCACCCGTCGATATACACTGCGTTCTTGATTGATTTCCTCTATAAGGGACACATTTATTGAAGGTTTTTTTGTGTTTCTCACTAGGTGACAACCAAGGGGTTAAATTTCTACGTAGATTCAAACAATTATTAAATCCCGCACAAGTTTTTGACTTGATTTCAACTGGACCACGTTTAGGGCTGAGGTTGTTTCGACATTTTGATCCTTTTCGGATATTAGTCTGCAGTGGAGATGGTTCTGTCGGTTGGGTACTATCCGAAATTGATAAATTGGACATGCACGTATGTTAAACTAGTAAACTACTAAACATAACCTAACTTAACCTTAAATTGTTATAGAAACAATGTCAGGTTGCTGTTCTTCCACTTGGTACAGGCAATGACCTGGCACGGGTCCTCGGTTGGGGTTCATCGTGTGATGATGATACTCACCTCCCGCAGTTATTAGAAAAATATGAGAAAGCAAGCACAAAGATTCTAGATCGTTGGAGTATAATGGCATTTGAACGCACAATAGCAATGCCCAAACTTTCACTTACTCCTGGTCAACCTGAAGGTTTACTCCATACTCAAATCGCACAATACGAAGAAACCCTCATTGCACATCTTCAAAATATTCTTCAATCGGACGAAACTTCCGTTATTATTTCATCAGCAAAGCGTCTTTGTGAAACAGTCAAAGAACTTGTACACCAAGTATCTACCAGTCCTTTAATCCGTTGCGATGAACCTTTATCTCAGAAATGTGAGACTCTACAGCACAAATTAGACATGTTAGTCAGTACTCTTACTAGTGACACTCCAGTGGTAGAATCTACACCTACCAATATTCAATTCCACATGGATTTTGACGATGATGAAGTCGCACGGCAATGTGGAAGTGCTACCACGTCTGCAACAGCATCTGGTACAGTTAAAGAAGATACAGAAAGTGAAATGTCGTTTGAGAAACGCTCCGAGAAGTCAGAAAAAGATTTAAGTAACATCAACTTTCGAAAACATCGAAGAACTTCCCGCTTTGTAGAGAAAGAGAAATCAAATTTGATGGCGCGTGCAGACAGTTTAAAAAGGGCAATGAAACATCTAGTGGAACATACTGAGCAAGCCGTTGAGGAACGTAATAAGTGCGTGGCGCAGGCGCAAGCGCAGGCTGCTCAAGAAGCGATGGATTTAAACCTTAAAATGGATTCGCTTAAAGTCATGCCAACGATTGCAGACAGTGGTAGTACATCTGACGTTAGTTCATGTGCAAGCCCAACGAGTCAAAGTAGTACATTAACAGCGCGACTAGTTAATATTTCACCATTACCAGATATTAGAAGAGATTCGGCCATTGAAGACCCGGAATTGATTAATTTACCTGTCCCACCGGATTTTGCTGATAGCAGACGAGCAAGTCAAATACAAAAGTAAAATATTTCTATGAAAACTATTACTAAACAAATACTAACATTGTGAATGTTTATATTTAGCATTCCAGTGAATGAACAAGTCACAGAACAACTCCTCAAGGACACCTGCAACACCCTGTCGAGTAAACCGAATGTAGGATGTTCCAAGGACAACGATTCTCCGGAAGACTGCCGAAACTACGACGAAGACAAAGAATGCAGTAGTATCCTATCTGCAATGTCAAATGAAGAAGTTAGTATTGCTTCCATTGACCTGGATAGATCCTTCTGTCCTCAGAAAGATTCAGATGGAGAAGACCTCAACGGCCATATAAATCACATCGATTCGCCGGAAACAGACACCGCACCCAATTCGGACGCTCTTCAAGGGGAGTCACTCTTTGATGACATCAGTTCAATGCTAGGTATGTATCTGTTTGAATCCTGTTTGATATCCGTTGCAATCCCGGTGCCGAGTAATGTTGTGTTGTGGCAATAGTTCGTATCGTAGGCAATGAGTATGGATTCGATCTGGATAGTCTCGATACAACCGAGGAGGTCACACCTGGTGACGTGGAACGCCGAAGAAGTTTTAAATATGATTCTATGGAACGCAAACGGAAATTATCCAGGAGTTCGATAAAAGTTCCAACGGTCGAAGAATCATCCACGCAATTTGGTTTTGAAAATCCTGCATTCATGTCTCAACATGTTTATCTTGAGCAGCAAAAAACTGAAGAACAAGTGAGATACTGCAGTCTGGCGCAGTTTGTTGAAGGTAGTGATATAGCACGCAGATCCTTCAAAAGGAGACCCTCAGGTGGGGCTTGTAAATCTTATAAAACCGAAGCGAATGTCAACCGACAAAGTACCCTAACGGAAGAAACCGAACCCAGCGCTAGAGGTTCACATTCCAGTTTAAATAAAATCGAAGCAGAACTCGCCGAGCATGATAAGGAGGAAAAGCCTGAAAGTGATAAGTTTCCACGGGTTAGTGTAGTGGTGGAGCCACCGTCACCCGAGAGAGCTTACCCTTCGATATCCGGCGATCAAATTACAATCGAAATCGAACCGGATTTTGATATTAAGAAGCTGCTTACAAAGGTGGGCGATGCGAGCACTAGTGATGTGAGCAATAACAGTTCGAACTCGAATCTTCTCGGAATCGACAACGAACACTTCTTGACACGGTCGCCAGCGGCGACTAGGCGGATATCCTGTTGTAGTATGTTGAACCCGTCTGAAACTGCAGCATTAGCAGCGGCAGCTGCCACCAGTAAGTTGTTTTGTTCGGACACAAATGAAAACAAAAAGAGTCGTGATAGGAAGGAGCAGAGAGAACGAGAAAGAGAAGAAAAGGAAAGTCAATCGCAACGAAAGATGCCGATTATTAATCCTTTAGTCAGATTACCAACATGGCCCAGTGAGTATATAAGTTTGTTTTATTATAGAGATATATTTATGTTACGTGATTTCTTGTGTAGATGTCACTACCGGTACTGGTTTCATAGGAAAATGTCTGCTTGCCAATGCGGATACGTTGTGTGCTGCTGTGAGTCCATTGATAGACCCAGATGAAACTCTCCTAGAAGGATTCTTTGAAAGATGCGTCATGAATAATTACTTTGGTATTGGAATTGACGCGAAGATTTCATTGGATTTCCATCACAAGCGTGAAGAACATCCTGAGAAATGTCGTTCAAGAGCGAAAAATTACATGTGGTACGGCGTCCTGGGCAGCAAACAGTTGTTACAGAAAACTTACAAGAATCTGGAGCAGCGTGTTCAACTGGAATGTGATGGACAACGAATTCCATTGCCGCATTTACAAGGCATTGTTATTTTGAACATTCCAAGGTATTATAACCTCAAATATTTAACCTAAACATTTCTATTAATATCTCTTTTAATTAGTTTCATGGGTGGAATCAATTTCTGGGGTGGAACTAAAGAAGCAGATCTATTCCTAGCACCTTCATTCGATGATAAAATACTTGAAGTTGTAGCGGTCTTTGGTTCAGTGCAAATGGCTGCCTCGCGTTTGATTAACCTACAACACCATCGCATTGCGCAATGTCAGAGTATCCAAATAAACATCCTTGGAGATGAAGGTGTGCCTATACAAGTTGATGGTGAGGCATGGATTCAACCACCTGGGATCATCCGTATACTACATAAAAATCGAATGCAAATGTTATGTCGCAACCGCGCTTTAGAAAACTCTTTACGCACATGGGAAGAAAAACAACGACAGAGTATCGCTGCGCAAGGTAGTAAACATCGTGCATCAGTACCTCACGATAAAGCCCGTTCAAGTTTAACTCGCCAGAGTATGCCTAGTCATGTAAAACCAACGTTCCTTGGTGTGCATATTGAAAAAGCACGACAGTATTCATTCAGTGGTCCATTGGGTGGATCTGGAGAAGCAGCACCAAGGCATTCGAGTGTTACCTTCTTGGAACGACCACTAGTAGGCCGGGAACCAGCGCATGTTCTATTTGATGAAGAAGAACTACGACTTTTGATAGGATTCATTGAAAGTGCAACTGGATTAGTAAAATGGATTAAAATCTTAGCAATCAGCTACAACCTGGAAGTGGATTTATATAGTCTGGCAACAAAAGCGGATAAATGTTTGGAAAATATCCATCCTGATGGTAAGATATTAAGAGGTCCTGCATTACGAATAGAATTCACAAAGTGTGTTAACTCTGTCAAAACACTATATGAAGAAAGCTGTTGTTTACTCCACGACAGAGGTGATAAATTAAAACTACGAGAAGACCTCGAAAACAAGCTAAGTGTAAGTTTAGCCAGTATGGAACTTGAGTTAAGAAAATGTGTCCTGCATGACACTCCAACAGGTGGTATGATTTATTTACAAGCATTACAAGAAGACGCTGAACCAAAACGCAAAGGTTTATTCTGGAAGAAATTGCGTAAAGCGTCCAGTGCGCATTTGCATCTGCCTCATCAACATCAAAGCGCCAAAACACGTGATGTAGCATCTTGGGGTACGCAGGAGGTGGGCACATGGCTGGAAACTCTTCAGCTGGCTGAATATATTGACAGCTTTGTGCGGAATGACATTCGCGGGCGAGAATTATTAACCTTAGCAAGACGTGATCTGAAAGATTTAGGCGTAACAAAAGTTGGTCATGTCAAGCGCATTCTGCAAGCGATCAAGGATCTCAATCAAGGTGTGAATTAGATGGTCAACACTTTAGTCACTACAACATTATTCGCGTAATACGTATTTTATTGAATTTTTGATGAGAATTCCTTACTGTGATTACTATTTCTCCAACATTATCAACGGCTTTGATTTGTATGTGTCGTTCTGATTCAGTTCGGATGATACGGTCGAATGAATATGAAAATTCTAAAATGCAATTGAAGCAATTAACGAATGAATCTCTCACTAGCAATATCAAAACGAAGATTCAGGATGTAGAGGATTTAGTTCGGATTAGAACGACCAATTTGAGTAATACTTCATCCCGATTATGAATATATGTTGGTGCCTACTTTTAATGCTCTAGTGCTAATTTGTAACGGAATGAAAATCGGCCGCGCGTGACAAAATGGCGCCGATGTAACGCACGATGACGAAGACTGATGCAATGATTTTGATTTTGTTTCGATATTCCTTGATTTTACGCTTCTTTTGATGTCACATTTAACCTCACCTTATCACAACCATTGACTATCATGATAATCACTCATGCGCATTCCGTGTGCACCGATTACAATTGAGATAGGACAACTTAAACCACTAGACATAGAGCAAGCAAAACAAAACAAAAAATTGAAGAAAGTATTCTTGTATTAATCACTTTAATCGACAGTATAAGCATATTAGTCAAAAACGTAGAAATCTATGATAATCATTATGAATTGCCTTTCTGAGATGTCTACCACTCTCTCTACGCTCTGAACGGCGAAGGAAGATGACGCAGCGCATTCCTCGAGACACGAATATAATGTTCTAATTACCGTTGATATTATATACATATTATATGAATCGATGTTGAATCATGTATAGGTTCGCGTCCCGCCGATGCAATATCAAACGAGTAACAATATGCAAAGCTGGCAATTACGTCAATAGCCCACAATCCATTTATCTCAACCGATGATCTCCCACAAACTCCATTTCTCTGTAATCTTCCGGTAGTATTGTTCAACACACAGGTCAAAACTATTATTTGTGGACCTGTTGGTGTCACAAACGAATTGAACCAAAACTAACTATACTAAACGTACGAAAAATGTGTTCAACTCGAATTAAAAACGATTTTACACGCATGGAGTGTGAACAAGATGGCGCGCGCATTACGAGTGTTATGTACTACTTTACCAATATTCATGTTCATCATTCCTTGTTATCCTTTAAACAAGAACCAAACATAACCTATATTTAAATACAAACCTAACCAACAAAAATGAATAACGATGAAGCAATTTAAGCACACTTTAGACACGTGGACCAAAGATATTAGAAGCATTTGATGAAAAACCAAAGGAGGAAGCAAACCCAAAAATTATATATTTAACAAATGGTTATGAACAATGTAAAACTTTGAAAATCTCTTAAGCTAACCTTAAATAACTACCTAACCAAATATTAAATATCGGTTTTGAACCTGTGTCAATGCATTCCGTTGTTGTCTGTAACTTTCATTTCATATTTTGATCACAAATCGTTGATTTACTCTTTAAGACTGCAAGTCCACCAGCATATTTCTGTGATATTAATTGCAGTCGAACGCCGGCTGTATCCTCACACGCACCACCGGGTTTCTCTACCAATCCTGCTGTCTTTCGCATCAATTTATTATAATGTTCTTACGTGAGTTCCTCTTCAGACGCGCGATTTGAATCGATGATCTTTTTTTGTGCAAGGCATAGCGTGTTTCTACGACGATGACGATGAATTTACTTAATTTAGGAAACGAACGATTATATTATATCAAGTTTTTTCTTGTATTGTATATTATCAAATGTTATATCATTGTATTGGGGGTGGCGGCCGGCGTGTTGAGCGCGTCGGGTGTTACAAATGTTTGAAATAACGAGAACATTGTAAAGACCTTAATGTGACTTCTCTTGACATGTTTGTGGCGAAATAAATTATATTGAACCACAATTGAAAAATTAACTAATTTTTATATGTGTATGACATAGTAATATTAAAATTGATTGTAGTGATTTGGAGTAGATATTTCCATATTGTAGATTAATGAACAAGAAAATTGAATTGTGTCTTGCTGAGTTTTTGTTTGGGGGTTTCGAAACGACTGAGTAGTGTAGTCGCTGCGCGCTGTTCATTTATACCTGCGGCCAACCCGCAAATAGAAGAGGGGGAAAGGAACGCGCTTCAGCGCGCGTGAGTATGCAACCATCAGTGAAACGGAGAGGGGAGTTTGCAGTTAGTTGCGTAAAGGGTGACGAGAGGTCTCTAGCGTAGACATAAATATGTCACAAGCTACTTTTTTATTCTTACAACTCGAAAAACACAACCAAATATTTGCAAACACAGTAAATAGATTATTTTTTACAGATTTCAAGTAATTGTGGATTTAATTTAAAACCTATTCTATTAAATCTTATTTTTGGTGCTTCACTTTGTTTTGTGGTTTACTTCTAGCAGATATACTACCTCAATTACTTTTCAACACATTTTTGATGATAATTTCAAAAATAAAAGCACAAACACCAGAAAAAAGTCCAAGAAATAAAAAATTAAAAGCCGCTGCTAAATGATGTATGCTTAACACAACTTGTTTATAATTATTCCCTCCACCTGTTGAATTATTTTCATTATTCGGTCCCAGATAAGTAACTTGGTTTTCATAGATATAGTATTCATTCCATAAATCGATGAAACCACCAGCAATCAGTTTATCAATAACGATATCAAATTGTTTCTTCAGTACGTAATTCTGTGAAAAAATAATACTATAAGGATCCACATACACCACATTATCATCATCAGAAAGTACGAATATTTTAGAAGAACCATCTGCATTTCTCATTTCCGGTGTTTTATCATAATACTCGATATAAGATTCTCTCAGAATAGCAATTGCTTCACGATTTGCAACTGCATCCATCCAATATTCATTTCCTTCAGTCTCGGAAAAATATTTATATTTATTATAAATCAACATAGATTTATCATCTTCAGGGTTATTAAAATACTCTTTAATGTAAGGTGCACCTCCAATCGGTAATGAACTCTGTACGATTTCATCAAATGTTGATATTTGATGTTCATATTGTGGTTGAGTTAATAATTTAAACAGCGCACTTTGATAGAAAGATCCAACGATGATAAAAAACAAAGCGTAGGAAATGAATAATATGCGATTGATTAGCAACACTGGTTGCCTACTAACCGGTGCTGAAAGAGTCACCTGAACGGATAACAAAATGGCTGCTCCCAAACTCAATAAACTTTTATCTTGATGTAAATTAGTAGTAAAATTAGTAGTCACCCAAAATAAAACACCAACAATTACCATAATTACCATTAAAACCATCAAAGTTGAAAATGAAAATATAAAGTAAAATAACCTCCAATCACTTATCCTTTCTGCAGCTGGTACCACCCAGAATCTTTTTTCTGTGAAGTAAGTCAACGAGAAACCAAAATCTTGTAAGCGATCTTGTCTGACGGACACAGCACCAACTCCAATTTGGAAAGGATCCAGTTGGAGTTTGTAAAGTGGACCTGTCCAGTTACCTTCTTCATTTTTATAGCCCCAACTACCAGAAATGCTATAATATGACTTTTCGAAGGAAACATTTAGTGATTTTGCAATTTCATTAAGAATTAATACTTCAAAACCATCTTTAGGTGATATTACATAAGGTGGATTATGCATCAACATTGAACGAATCGTACAATTCAATCGTGAATAATTGGTTGCATAACGATACACATTGAGGTTAAATTTTCCATTGGTACATGTGTTTATCAATGTTGTTTCTGGTTTCACAGCACAATATATTGAGTTGTTTGGGTATAAATTAAACATGTATAACTCAAAAACATCTTTTTTAGCTGGAATCAACAATGTGGCTTCGTATTTAAAATGATCATACGCTATTTTGATTATTTTCTCTGCTAGATCTTTAGTGTTATCTTCTAAATTTGTATAAACAAGTAAAAATTCAGCTGAAATGTTGTATGTCATCATAGAGTCAATTCTTTTTAAGTTATCCTTAAATACTTGAAGATTATCGATGAATACAAGATACATTTTTGTTTGTCGTGGAGTTTTAAACACTTTCTTGTAAATTCTTTCTCTTTTATTCTTCGAGTTACAATTATCTATGCACTTTTCAAAAGATGGAAAAAAATTTTGTGTTCCATTGGTGATTTCATAGCAAACAGTGTAATTATCTATCGTTTTGTGTAACATTTTGGTTACTGTAGACATAATTGAGTAGCCTGGTTCTTTGGTTATGTTGCAATTTAAAATGGTGATTAATTGTTGATTTCCTAAGATTTCTCTCGTTGCATTCCAGATACATTCACTTGCAAAAATAATATCGATAGGACTAAATGTAGTGAATACATCTATATCTACTTTTTGAGTTGTTATTATGGTGAGAATGCTTAGGAAAATCAAAAATTTTAAATAACACATTCTTGTTTCTGATGAACTGCAACTAACTAAACTCTAAAGTTCAGTGGGAAGGATAACATAAAAAATAGGGCTTGCTCAGTTGAGGAACTATAAAGGTTAAGAAAAATTACAATTATTAACGCAATACGCAATTTGTGATTGAGATAAATGATAAGATACGCGTAACATATGAATTATTTTATAGTATATTGATTTTTGTCGTTTTATTTTAGAAAATTACTTAATTTCTACTTCAAGTATAAACATTTTCTTTGGTTTGCTGGAAATTATTAATGTCTATGTAGGATTACAATAGTTTAGTAATTGTATAAGCAAACAACCATGTAAATATTTGTTTTAAGTTCTATTCAATTTTATTTAAACAAATTATTTTAGTAGGAAGTAAATTTCTTCCTAAAATTTTCTAATTTTATGTTTTGACAAAAAATTGTTTTCTTTTTATTTTCTTCTTTTTTTGTATTGTGTGAAAATACAGTAATTTTTTAAATAAGGCGCCCTTTTTCTATTTGCACTTGCTTTTCAAATTACCATATAAAATAATTCTACAGGAAAATAGAACTTATTGACCCTTTAAATTTGGCACTGTTTGCATTTCTTTGTTTTGGGATATTGTATGATACGTCACATCCACCATCTCCCACTTTAGCTTGGACTTTAGCACGTTAAGCGTGTTACTTGGGGGTTCGCTACAGCGCGCACTCAAGAGCATCAGTCACTCCATTTGCAACGTTTAGTGCAGCGTGCAGCTCCGTTTCACACTATCTCAAATCACACCTAAATTATTTAAAACGACCGTTACCAAGTGCAAATCAGTACCCCATACCACTACAAGTAAGTTTTATGCAATACATTTAATTTCTAGTCTTTGAAAACTCAGAAATTGAAAAATATAGCAAAGTTAACATATGGTGATTTTTTTCTTCGCGTGTTTCGGTTAAGATTCATTATAATCGCGTATTTTTTACTGTACATACGATTGGGTTAGTTTATGATTTTCCGTTAACAGTCACCTAGAAGGAGATCTAATTAGATTTTGGAAGCGTCATTTTCTTGCATGTTCTAACACGAATTTTGTACGAGTATATGATAGGGTGACCGCAGCTTCACCTTGCGCAAGTGTGCGATCGTCGTGTTGTCGCGTTATCAGTGGCGTGTTCGATTCTTACTTCGCTCTAACTTTACTTTGCAGCAGTGAGAAGGTGCGCGTAAAATACAACATAAGATTTGAATGTTTTGATGTTTATCATTAGCAAAAGTAACATCATTCTAACATCGCACATTGAGTATACGAGTACTCGTAGCTCGACCAACTGTGCTGCGATTCAGCGCGTGTTTCGGTTGCAACGGCGTGAAATGCTAGAAAAACTATCATCGTCTTTTGTAATAATTTAAATTTTGGGTGTTTGAAAGCTTCTAAATCAAATTGAACATCAAAATTTTATGCACAGTTCTCTTATTCATTAGGTTTATTTGCATTGATATTGAAAACTTAATTATTACGTCACTAATCATCGAGTTGGTTCATTTTATAACTTTATTTGAATAGTAGTAAGAGAATAAATTTTTGTTTGTATTAAATAATTTAATAATTAGCAGAGTTCTTAGGCACATTTGTTTCTTACGCGCAAGAATTGAATCAGTGACCGGGTGTGCACGATTGTCGTTAGACTAGACGTTTGTTTACATTTCAGTTGTTTTGATCTTTACTTTGTGGCAGTGAGAGTTTTGATTTTATCATTTTTAAAACTAATAAAATCAGCAACATAATTGTTGATATTTTGTTTTAACTCTGGTAATACTAATGATCATGTTTCGCCATAATTTGTCATCTACAAGTATTCCATCTTTAATAATTTAATTTTTGAAATGAAAACTTTTTTAGAATCGTTGTGATTTCAAAATTAATGAAACGACACTAAAAAGAAACAAACGTATTCGTTTATATGGTTTAGTCTGCGAGAGAATAAGAGAACACAGATATACGAGTACAGTGTTTCCTATTATCTTCGTCTCCTCTTTCTGCGATGCTTCGTAGCTTGCCACAATCCACTTGATTCTGAATATTTTCTGAATATACTATATTAACGTTCTTCAAGTATGCCAAAAACTAATGCCGATAAGTGTCTCGAATATCAGCAGAAAAATATTAAATAATTTAACTTAAGCTAAGTAAAGTTAAGTAAACACTTACTGTACGCTATACCCTCACAATATCGCCAAAACGATATTTTTACTAAACCATTGCAAGTCAATGCAATCAATGTGCTATCCACATCAGGCTTGACAAATACTTGCATTGACTTGCAATGGTTTCGTAAAAATATCGTTTTGGCGATATTGTGAGGGTATAGCGTACAGTAAGTGTTTACTTAACTTTACTTAGCTTATACTCACCCTCTCGTACTACCTACCATTGTATTTCAATAATTTAACTTTTACACTTGATTCCAATATTATAATAAATAAACTCAATAATTATCCCACTTCTGATACTATTTTCGTCTGATTCTCTCACAGTGCAGTGTTCTGAAGGTTTCACTTCTACCGCGTGTGAACTACACACATGATTTTTTTGTTCCTTATTTTATTTTTATACGATTGAAAGTATTTATTATTTTTTTCTTTGTTTCAGTAGACAAGACATTGTGTGGACAGTATACGAGTATACTCATCAAGTGCGGGTCAAGTCGCGTTTTACTTTACCTCTGAATGATTCGCGTTAAAATTTTCGGATAGTTATCGCACTAGTGTTTTTTAACGTGGGCATTAATCACAATCGAGTGCGCGTCGCGTTTATAAAATTGCCAAATCAACACCTAATTCGATTTCCCGAAATTTCAACCCTAAGATGGATGGATGCAGATGCCAAATCGACTTCAAGCAACCTACCTGCGTTTGGACCCAAGTTTGAAACAATATCGACGCGTCCTCCAGAGAAACTCTGACGAAGGAACCCAGTTTCTCGGAGCCGGATGTAAGGTAAGTCGTGGTGATGACTTGGACCGGAGGGTAGTCACGAGTGCCTCTGACTGGCGGATGCGCAAAGCATTTTGCTGCGTATGTGACAGCCGAAGGGGAGACTCACTCGGGGCTATGTCCTTGGTCTAGGGATAGTCCACCCAGCATTGCTAGAAACGCCGGACGTCTTTAAGTAGTGAGTACACCTGACACCAAACGGGCTGTCTTGTATCTTCATGCGCAAACTAATACACGTACCTACATGCAATCATCATAACTGAAATAAGTCCTCAATCTCGGAAGATTGGTTTTGTTTTCGCAATTTGAGATTTACAGGCGCGATCAAAACCGAAAGAAGACGTCATTTTGATCAATGTCTAAATTTTTGTAAGTCGCGATACTTCAATTAGTGAATTAGTGAACGGATAATTAATTCGCGGTTTTTCAGGCGTGGGCAACGTAATTTCGATCAACATTTAAGTTTTTGGGAGTCGAAATACTCCGAATTTACTCGCGATTTTCACGTTTGCAATTCGATTATTTCACACGCGCATCACTGCCAAGGACAGCAGAATATCAAACATTTGAATCATCATAATTCGCGACAGTAAAACATCGCGTTCGTTTGAAATGTGTGAATGTTGAGAACTGATGAATGTAATCCCATTTTGAATTATTGTATGAATGAATTGATTTATTATTTATTTATTGTATTTATATTTGTGTATGTGTGTTAAATTTTGGACGATGTGCTTGTACATGGTACCAAAAGCCCGTTGCCCAATGACGGTGCACGGGTCACAAGGCAAATAAAACTTGGTTATACCGCGGCGAAAACCGTTTCGCCACCCCAATCTCAGATCGTTAAACGCGGTCGCGGGCATTATATTAATAAGAACGATAACAAACATTAATTATTGCAACGGTCGGTGATACTAGTTAAGTATGTTGTTAGGTAGGGAAAAAGACAGGTCAACTAAAATCTCGCAATAGAATTAAGAATCCTATCCATCAATTCTTTAGTGTGTAAATGAAAATTTTGTTATTGATATTTACATTATTTGATATATTTGTGTAAATTTAATCAATTTTCAAAATGTTCTCCACACTGGCAAAATAAAGTCCAAGGATTATTATTATTATAACTAAATGAATAATTATTAACAAAGAGCTGTCCGCCGGATGGTTTCCTGGTTTATAATTGCGACTTTCGAAGACAATTATTAACACAAACAACATTGTTGCTATTTGTTCAAAATTGCAAAGTATCTGAACCAATTTAAAATATGTGATTGTTGGAGTTTTTGGCACGATATTGATTGAGAGCGATCGTAGCGAGCGTTTAATTAATCGAGTGTTTAATAACGTTTAGCAACGTGATGCTTACGCTATTTTTTCTACTTCCACTCAATTTTCACGTTTTACGAAGTATTTGTATTTGAATTTTTGTATTTTGTATTTTTTTGTATTTTAAATACTACTTGGAAATGTAAGGTTATAAATGCCGTGTTGCGCACTGGATCATGTTGCGCCGCGCCGACACGAGCGAATACGCATGCGCAAGCTTCACCCCGTGACTAAAGACCGTGAACACATTACGTAGGTGTCTTAAAACCATAGAAAAACTGGCGCTCTAAAGGTAGAAGTCGACATTTTTTTAAATTATCCAAATGACTGGATTTGTTTTATTCAGTAACCGTGTGTATACGAGTAAATGAATTTTGCCACCAAGTTAGATTTCGCAAATAAAACGATATTTATTATAACAGTTATAATCATTCCAGACAGGATCCGTTCCTATATGCACAACTATATACACACAGCGTTGATCGTGATTGGAATGATTTGGTTGTCCAACCTCCCAGTTTGTATACGTGAAGGGGTGTCCATTACTAGCCCAAAAAAATGATTCCTCCGTATCGAGATCGTTGCCAGAAATCCACCATCTACTTGATAAAGCTATGCCTAGTCACAATTACAAAAAAGTCATTTAGTCTCATACACATGTTACAATATGTTTCAAACTCACATTCGTCTTTTATAACTTGAGCCAAATTTTCTTCATCCTCTTTGCTAGTAATCGATGCCAATTCTAATCCCATGAAATGACAAGCGTGTAATGCTCCGAACCACGTTTTCTTTAAAAATAACATTTAAAAATATGTCTTCAACATTATTTTTTCTTGCATACCTGATCGATTGAAATGATTTTATAAGTCCTGTTCGATGATAAAACAGGTATCAGACTTTCATGCTGCGTTGGTTGAAAGGTATTATGCTGTCCTGAAAAAAATAAATTATTATTGGATAGTAAAAATTATATGTATTTTTAATAAGTACCAATATTTTCTGCAGATGTTGCAAGCAAGAGACTTGCTAAAAATGTTAACTTCAAAAAATACATTTTTAGTGTTGGATGCTCGCAGATACAAAATGTGATGTATGAATATTGCTTATATTAATATCGTTTAAGTTTAAACGTTTTATCACTGTATTTATGATAAACGATTGCAAATAGATCAAATTATCAGATGATTATAAATCACTTGGGACTAAAATACTTGAACTATATCCAATCAGATTTGTCAACAAACATGTTTTATATAAAATCTGAGATGGATATCACTCTGAAGCTAGAGAATACCTGATAATACTAATGGGAATTATTTAATTATTGAGAGGCTATGAACCTATTAGCTTATTGTTTTATTTTTGATTGATTGTTGACAAAAACAAATACGTAAGATATGAACCTTATATCACGACTGGATGATTCAAAAATTAATTTTATATGACATGTCATATAATTTTAGTTAAAGAAGGTAACCATTTTCATAGCGGCACTGTTGTGACATTCTTTTTTATATCAACCCATTTCTAAAAATTTATAAAATCAACTGAATTATTATTTAAATTTAAATTCACAATCAGATATCTACAAATTTTGGCAATAATCATCTTAATAATATGAAGACCCTCTTTTGTTTCTTTTTATGTTTGAACGAGAATAACAGGAAACAATTAATTTTCCTAATCATTTTTACATTTCTATCCATCTATACATTAAAGTAAACAAAAGAAAATATCATTGAGTAACCATACGCTTTTATTTTATAAGCAGGTTAAGATTCACAAATGAAATTATACTGAACATTACACTGCCAATCGTCCCAGGTAAAGTCATTATTCGCGTCGTTACAAAATAAAAGACAATTTTGGTTCTTTTGGCCATTGTTCGGTTGACCTTTTAACCAATTCGCATATGTGATAGGGCGTCCATTAGAAGCCCAGTAAAATTGGCCTTCCTGGTTGAGATCATTTCCAGACGTCCACCACTTAAATCCCGCAATTAAACCTTTTAACAATTAAAACAAAATCGTTATAATTGACAATATTTTTCTGAAACGTAGAGTACCTGTTGAATATATAAGATTGATCATATTTTCTTCCTCTTCTTCGGTATTTATAGATGCCAATTCTAATCCCAGGACATGACAAGCTTCTAATGCTCCCTGCCACGTTTTCTTTGAGGATAAAATATATTTATTTAAAAATGTATCTTCAACATCGACTCATTTATTAAATTTACTTACCTTGTCATAAGAAATAATTTTATATGTTTTGTTTGACGCCGAAACAGGTGGTTCCATTCCAAAGAGAGCTGCTGAAATAAAAATCAATTAATTTAACTTTTTATAAATCTTAAATACTTAATTAAATTAGCAAAATATACCAATATTGCTGTGGGTTGATGTTACAAGCCAGAGACTAGCTAAAATTATTAACTCGAAAAAATACATCTTTCAATGAAATGCTGCTTGCTTATTGATTCAGGCACATAATGGGCTGCATACAAATACTCCATTGTTTATATCCTTAAATATGAACGAAAAGTTTAATTTAAAACATGTACCTATCCTTATAAGCATCAGTAATTTTAATATAAATCAATTCAGATTTGTAATGCTGGCTTTTTAAATGCAACCGAACCCAATGACAACAAAATAAAAAGCTAGTGCTATTTCCAAAAACAGATGATTGGAAATTTATTATGCGTATAAATGCATATTATTTATTATCAATAATCCGATGAATAATAATTGAAAGATGAAAAGGTATCCACTTCAGAGTTGCAAATGTCTTTACATTCGAGACTATCCCGTTTCAAATTGTTTGAAGGTTCTGCTGATTTGTTTTTATTTTGTTTGATAATGATTTTCCATTTTACGTCTTTGTTATTTGACAAATCGGATGCAATTTTTTTCTGAAACATAAAAAAGCGATTATTCAGTGTGATATTAATATTGTTTAAATAAATATTTACCAATAGGTATTTTCCTTCGTCGTTGTGACTTTTTCCATTTTCTGTGAACGAATCTTTTAACGATGAGTTGCTTTGAATATTCGGAGAAATTAAATCAGTGTCTAAACATGAAAAAAATAGATTTATACTTTACTTAAACTAAAATAGCAATATTAACCTCTACACCATTCTTCGTAATCGTTATCACCACCAGCATCACAAGTAAAATGAATGGGTACAATGTTTTTCTGCAAAGTCAATGAATTAATACATAAATTATCCGTTTCATATCAAAATTACTTACTTTTCTTTTAACCAAATCTGTATTCATTATAATACCGCTATCTTTCTTGCCCAAAACATATTTTTCCGGTGATGATTGACAATACGAAGAAAACACAATCGGTTTCAAACTGTTATTTTCTGTATTTACATTTGTTTCATCACACGAAATCAGATTTTTAACCGGTACTCGTTTAATAATCAATTTCTTCACAACATAATGATAATCTTGACCAGATTGTGGATCTGGATTCAATATTATTGTTGAATTTCTACTACTTCGACAACAACACAGATTTAGGAGCGATCGTTTCGGTTTCGGACATGTTTCCACATTCTCTCCGTTAATCACAATAGAACCCATTATATTACACACAGAACAGAAAAGAAATAGGTAAAAATTTAACAAAATGTCAAACAATGTTTAAGTTTTGACATAAAAACAATTAAACCAGTATTGTTTGGGTTTATTTTATTTTCCCGGTGACAATTCGAATTTTATCCCAAGAACTACTAACGTAAAATAAACGTTGTTCTCTTTCAGCAACAGAAATATATTTCACTGGACCAAATGCAATGTCTATTTCCATTGCATGCGAGTAATTTGCAATATCAAATGTTTGCCAATCCTCGCGCTTGTTTATCTCGTAGAAATACAGCCATCCTTTCAACGTGCCAATGACCAGTGTATTGCCATGCAAGCGAATGCATGTTATCACAGTTTCGAATACTTCTTGTGGCAGAAAATACTTGGTAGTCGGATCAATATCTTTAGTTGGTGTATGAACATACATAACTTGTGGATCACTTGTAGTCAACGCTGTTAATATAAACAAAATGATTACTTTGTGAAATCACAACTTGTGATATCAACTACCTCTAATGCAGCTCACACGTACGTCTTCATTCATCACCCAAACATCAAGGTTAATGCCACGAAAACCCTCTCGTCCTAACTCAGGCATCGTCATTAATACTCTCACAATAAACTGAGCATTTGGTTGATCATCTCGCTCGACTATATACATCATATTCATTGCCAATACAAGGCACAAATTTTCGTTTAATATACAAGTGAGTAGTCTTAACTGAAGTCCATAGCCGTAGTTGATATCATGCATCAATATATTGGCGATAATTGTATGATTTTCATTCAAATCATCGTTTGTAAAGCGTCCGATTGTCAAATAAGGACTGCGTGAAGACATTCCACTGAAGAAGGTTTTGTAAAAGTCGAATGCTGTATGGTTGTCAACCACACCATAGTTATATTCGTTTAATGCGTCAAATGTTTCAAGAACCAACTTGTGAATAATAAGCATGTCATAGTAATTAGCGACAATGCTCGTATTTTGATCTTCATCTACAAAAAAAAAAACAAGGAATGTTAGCAATTGAGTTATTTAATACATAATTATTGATTGAATTTACTTGCCTGTAATGAAATGGATTGATTTAATGGATGTCCCCAAATGGATGGTGAACTCCTTGAGTTGGACGCCATCTTGATTATATACGATTATTTTACCTGATCCCAATCCTATCCCTATGTATTTATCTGTGGCAGCAATGCAGGTAATTTCTTTGTTTGCGGACTGCGTTTCAAACACTTTAGTGTGGAATCTAATATTTTGTTGGATGTCCTGCCATGTTGTTCGATTTTCGTATATTTGGTGCCAGTCGGTTGTAGGAAGAGTCGTGTATTGTAATAATTCTAATTTTGGAATGTCTTCTATGCAGCTACGTTTCCAAATCTTGTATTTCTGAAATATTTATAAATATTTAAGTTAAAAAGATATTTTATTTATAAAAAAGAGAATATTTTGCTAGTATTAAATTAAAAATAGATCAGCAATTATTCAATTCAACAAAATCACATGACATACGACACTGTTCCTAGAAATGTCCTAATTTTCTTCTTGCCTTTTAAGGAAATCCAAAAATTTTCATGTTTAACTTTAGTTTGAGTCATTTTTGTATAGAAATTTCAAAATTCAGTTGCTCTACTAACAAAAAATCACCTTGAAAATTATCTGATTGCTTAGAATAGTAGTTTTTAGTCATAGGAGACGTAGAAAAGTTTTAAAAATGACTTAGAATCAGTTTAAAGTATAAATTGTTTGTTCAACAGTCGCATCTTATATTTGAGCAAGTATTTAGACAAAATCTTATTTATTCATTACACGCTATGACACACAACTATGAGTTTTCCATTCATATATTATTGATGTAATAAAATTCAATTTCAATCCCTTTACCTTATCCAAGTAATTGACAATATCCTTCCACTCTCTGTTCACGTGCTGTGCAGCGCATAAGGTTTGTCCGTCACAATAAAGCAATATCAATTCAATTAATTCTCTTGGCAGTAATATTTCACATGGCATGTTTCCTTTTGAAAAAATAACCGTAGCAATGAAATCACTTTCTTATGTGATCCACACGTGAGTCATTTATTGTTTATAAGTGCACAAACTTTTATGACTGCGTATTAATTTGAGTGCGTGATTTTAATGATTCATAAGTGTATCGCTCGATTTGCGATATTAATTAATCACCATTATTACAGAAACATGCCAAATTTAATTTCACTTACTTTCCAGCGATTTGAAAGCAATTTGCAAATAGTTTATGCACTTAAAAGTCAATCAACGCTTTGAACGAAAGTCTTGCACCGGTGTTCGACCCATTCGACCAGTCGGACGAGTCTACATCATGTGATAACAGCTTTCCTGGCCTTGTTTTTCCTCCTCCGGCCCTCGCTGCCACCTCCTACACAGCTTTTCTAGGTTAGTAACTTAGTTCAAGTTAGTATACAGGTTAGTTTATAACAGTAGTTAAATAGGAGCTAAACAAACATAAAACCATTGCGATGCAAAGTAAATAGTTTGAAACAATTAGTGATGAAGACAAAGGAAGAGGAGTTGAACTAAATCAGTCAACGCGCACTAAAATGAAGTGAGTGGTTAGATTGGTGTCACAACATCAAGCCACTATTACCAATTCATTCATTACACTATTCTTGATTGATGAATCATAAAGTTTAAAGTTAAGGGAATGCTTCGACTAATTCTCAGCTAGCAGTTCCAAAGTTACAATGTCTAACAATCAAACTAAATACAGGTATGTTTATATCCCATATTAAATCAATCTTTAATTGATTCAAATTCATTCGAAAATTTAGTAAAATAGATGAGTATGGATTTGAACGTCCGGAGAACTTCAACTATCAGGCTTATGAAGAGTTTATGTCGGAATATTTCCGAGTATTGGCCCGAAGATCAAAACGCTGGGAAGACTACAATGATATTCATAAGCTGAAAAAGTCCAAAACCCTCAAACGTTTCATACGTAAAGGTATACCGATTTCCAAGCGTCCCGTCGTGTGGATGAGCACGTCGGGCGCACTCCTGCTCAAAGAAGCCAGCAGCGTCACGTACGCTGAGGTGCGCAGTTCCATTCAAATCAGTATGATCACTGAAATGATCGAAATTGATCTTCCACGCACGTTTCCCGACAATATTTACTTCACGAGCGATTCGCAACTGCCGCGTCAATTGTACAATATTCTTGCTTCCTTTGCCCAGCAGAATACTGAAGTTGGTTACTGCCAGGGACTGAATTACATCGCTGGCTTGTTATTGCTGGCGACGAAAAGCGAAGAGGTGACTTTTTGGTTGTTGAAGGCGTTGATTGAGAATATCCTGCCAAAGTATTACGTTAAGAATATGAGCGGGCTGCTGACTGATATGGCTGTGTTGGATGAGCTGGTGCGTATTAGAGAACCAGCTGTACATCGGCATATTACTCGAATAGGAATGCCGTGGGCTGTGACCACCACCAAATGGTTCATTTGTATTTATGCTGAGGTGTTGCCGGTTGAGACGGTGTTGCGCATCTGGGATTGCTTGTTCAATGAAGGGTCGAAGATTATTTTCCGTGTTGCGCTTACGCTTATTCGAATGCACAGGGAGGAAATATTAGAGACTACTGAGTTGGGCGAGATTGTTGATTGCTTCAAAAAGATGACAAAGAGTTCCAAAGTTGTTAATTGTCATGATTTTATGCAAGTGAGTTGATTTTTTGTTCTGTTTTAATGTGAAATATGTAAAAATGTTATTTTTAGGCGATATTCAAGTTGCCAGGCAAGATGACCAACGCTGAGATAGCACAATTACGTAGAAAGCATAAAAATGCTGGAGCAAAATAAAGTGATCAAAAGTAAAGTTTAAGAAAGAGTACAAGTGTGTACGGCCGGTATGCAGCAGTACCATTTTTGTTAGGTATTTTCCATAAGTGCACTCATTTTAAAGTTGCAAGTGTAATCTAGTCTCTCTTTTATACAATGTTTTTAATAATTATTTAGGTATCACATTACTACGATATTTATTACCAATAAATTTGCTTGTGTGTTCAGTTGGAGTGTTTCTCCATGAAATCCTTGGCTTCATTTATCTTTGATGCTAGGTATGGTGAGCCTCCTCTGTCGGGGTGATTCACAGCCATTACTTTTTTGAAGGCATCTTTTACTTTTGTTTTGTTTGCTGATGGGCTGATTCCTTGAAAAATTAAAGTTAAAGAGATAAATTTTATTCCTCAAAAGTGAAATTGATATGTGTATCTGCACCAACTACTTTATCAAACAAAATCACAATGAAATACGATATTATTTAACTGTTTGCTATTAAATAATTGATTTTTGAAACACTGTTTGACTGTCATCATCATGAGCAAGTAATATTGGTTATGTTGATATTATTTAAAGTTATACAACCACCACAGCTTAGACCCTACTTCAGGACAAATTCTCACACTCCTGACAAACAGTAGAACTATTTTTATTGCATTTCCTGACATTATGTCTCTTCTGAAACAAAAATTTTCCCTTGCTTACCTAATATTAAAGCAGCTTCCCTCCTATTCATTTTGGCATCAAATCCACCCTTGTAGTATTTTGAGTTGGCGACCGAATCAGCATCAAACTTTGGAAGATTCTTTATTGCTTCATTTACTGTTCTTGTAACTTGCGGCATTTGTCGCACAATGTACCTGCCCGCAAAGCCCACTGCAGCCAAGCCTAGGCCTGTTACTATCAATCCAGCTGACTGCAACAGAAATACGTTCAATGAAAACACGTTACACAAAATACACGCTTTGATTGAAATACCATTTTCACAATTGGTAAAAAAATACGTAAACTTATGTGATTTCAAACAGCTAGACTAGAATTTTCGATGACATTTAAACGCGTGTTGCGCTGAAATATGACCTTGTTAATAAAATGTCAAAATCTAACATAAATAAGGTAGGCAACTACTGATACTACGCATGAATATGCTATTTAAAATTGGTTTACCAATTCCTGAATCCATCTATTTCTGTCGTGTTGTTTATCCATTGTAAAATAAATTGCGATTTCTTAGATTTTTTTTTATTTGGTAAGTTAATATCTACATAATGTAATTTTAATACATTTACGAAAATTTCAAATTTTATGAGTTTGAGAATGCTTTCCACAAATGGCAAATACAAAATATATATGGCATGTGTCATATTTGTTTTTTCCGACGTGTACATTGCAATTTTTGCTAACGGAACTCGGAAACATGAGCAATGAATCCTATAACGGTGCAATGACGCATTTTTTTTTTTATTATATCCCCCTGTATACACTGTACACAATCATCCAACACAACAGTACAGGATGGGCAATGTGAAAACAAGGCATTCGCCACATTAGTGAAACTGCTGGTAGATCGCTCAACTCCGTCCTCATATCACATCCGTAATCTCGCTATACAATTAACGTTCATCCCACCCAGATGGATATTTGCGTAATTACATGTTGACGTCACGGTTGTCACTTGTTGGCTGTAAATATTATTATGTTATCTAGTTTTAAAGGTGTAGATTTAGACCATGATTCAATCAATGGGTCGTGATACAAAGGTATTTAAAATAACAACAATATATTAAGAAATTTATAGTTATTGGGTTAAACACCTCCGTTTTGTAGGGTGATAGTAGCAGCAGTGAAGGTTTTACAAGGCAAGGTTCACTGAGAAGGGTATTACCTTCTGGTCACAATAAGGAGAACCTTTTTGGCAAACAAAATGAAGATCTCAATAAATTCTACAAGCAATTTCATCAGGAATACGTCATTCTTGCTGAATAGTAACTATAAATTGTTTACGATAGTAATCAGAACACTTTTTCACTTCAAAATTTACATTTTTTTAGTAAAATGGTGCAAAGTGAACAGATTGGAGGAGTTTATGTGATACCATCACAAGAATCATCACTTGTTTGGTTTGGTGTTTTGTTTGTACGTACTGGCCCCTATGAAGATGGAATATTCAGGTTTAATATTCACTTGGATGAAGCATTTCCAAACAGTGCACATCCAGTAAGTTTTAGTTTGAGTAAATTTAACTAATAACAAAGTAATATTTAATATTATTCAGAAAGTAATCTTCCACTCTGAAGTGTTCCATCCTGTTATTGATCCACAATCAAACGAAGTCAATTTACACGCTGGTTTTCCCATTTGGCAAAAATCTGAACAACATATTTGGCAGGTACTGAAATACTTGCAGTGGATGTTTGATAATGTCGAAGCAACCGCGTCACATGCAGTCAATCGCGAGGCTTGTGATCTGCTCGTGAAAGAAGCCGAATTCAAAGCAAGATGCAAGCAGAGTGTGCAATTATCGCGTGAAAAATTATATGAACGGCCGCCTACTGATGATAAGCACTATATTGTCTTCGAGGAGTATACGCCGCACATTCACGATTCTGTAAGGGCAACCATGTTGCAACCGTCTGCCCCAGTTGCTAGCGCCGGCCACTCCTGGGTGAAGGAGGGCACTTTCCGTCCACTAACTAAAGAGCCTTCTTCGAGCACTGATCAGGAGTCCTGATCGGCGTTTGTATAGTGTATTTTTGTAATCGAATTTAACGAACGCAACACATGCCAAGCATCGAAAACAACAGTATCGCGCGTAACCGCATCCTATGTACAGAGTTTTTGACTATTTACTTAAAAAAGAAACCATTACAGTAATGAAACATTTTTAATATATTCACATATTGTATGATTGTTATTTATACGACGTATAATTACGACGTCGCAGCAATAAATCGTTAACTTATTCTTTTTTAATTATTGGCATTGGTTTGTTTCGAATTGCATTCACAAACCACTGATTATTCAACTTGTAGTTAATGCCATTGAATTCAAAATGTGTTGGTGGGTTGTTCTCACCATCATCAAATGTGAAATGTTTACTGAATTCAATTGCAAGTTTTGATTTCACAAGACCAACTTGTCCAACTTTATCAGCTGCTGGATGATATACTCTTCCTGTTTCAGGCAGCATAAAAATCATTTCTGGTTGAAACTTCCATAGTAATTCATCTGTATTATTGTGTGTCAAGTGGTATTCGCAAATACCGTCCTTATTTTCTTTTTGAACAACTGTTGAGAATACAATTGGATAATCATCACACCTGACAAAGTTTCTCTCTCTGCCACAGAGTGATAAATATGGGAATTCAGGATATCTATCTGTTTTGTTCAATTTGAGTTGGTTAAAAAAGAATTTTAGAAACTTTTTCTCTTTGAAGCATGATGTGAAGTTTTTCATCCGGGAGTCATCTAAAAACAACTGATAATAAGAGCAAGATACATGAAATGCACTTCTTTTGACCTAGGTAAATAGATTTGAGTAATTACCATGCCTTGATGATCAATAAAATAAAAATATTCTCGGATTTTTGGCTCAGGTTCTTGTCCTTGCACATAAGACACTGATCTGTTGTGTTTGAATATTTCATTATGTTTTATGCTATTTAGAAAGTAAGGAAAGTTTCTTGTGGTTCTTAACATTTTTATTTTTAAGTTATGCTATGCGATCTTTGAACCGCAATCTTCATTTTTGTTTACTGCTAACGAATCAAAATATAAATTATTATTTCTATAAATAATTTTCTAACCTTTTCTTGAATCACCTTTTGACATTGAGATCTTAAGGACAACTCGAGGGGCAACTTTAACTTGTTTTTTTAGTGCGCTAAGTTTATTACGAGTGAATCGTTTAAAACTATGTGTTAAGGTGTAAAAAATCTATTAAACAATGAATAACCGCAGGTAACTAAATAGATTTCCTTGTATTTAACTATGGTTTAGCTAATCTGAAACTACTTTAAAGGCCAAGCAGTACAATTGAGGATTCACTTGAACAGTTTCTCAAAATTAACAATTATGAAGACACAGTTAAGCAGCTGGATAGTTATTATGGCATGGGTGAGCTGATATTTTAGTATAATTATATTTTGAAAAGTTATATTCAAGTTAACAATTATTATTATGTGTTTTTTATAGTCAAGAGACAGTTACTTCGCTATCAAAGCCCTATTACAGGCCTGTTTCCTAAATTGTCTTCGAATCAAGAAATTGGAAGTGTGAGAGATAGTGTTTATTGTGCATCAGCAGTTTGGGGATTGTATCAATCATACAGGTAAAATTAAGGAAATATTTTTTATAAAATTGCAACATTTTGTTTGGAACTGTTTTGATCTAATATAAAACTCTTATTTTTATTGCTTACTAATAATATATTTGATATTTTCAGTAAGTATTATTAAATATTTTATATAATTAACCAAATCTGAAATTTGGTCTTTTAAATGTGTGATTTTAGACGAATTGATGACGATCGTGGTAAATCCTACGAATTAGGCCAATCAACAGTAAAATGTATGAGAGGTATTCTAAGCTGTTGGATTAAACAAGCCCAACGAGTGGAATTATTCAAAAAGAATCAATGCAGTCAACATGCGCTGCATGTTAAGTTTAATATCACTACCGGCGATGTTGTGCTCGGCGACGATGAGTACAATCATTTGCAAATTGACGTGGTTTCAATTTATTTACTGTATTTGGTGCAAATGATCACATCTGGTTTACAAATAATTTACACACAGGTAGAACACGAATTCATTCTCGGCTCTAGTGTTTAAATTTGATCATTTTACGGGTTTTACTTTTAGGATGAAGTTGCATTCGTTCAAAATCTAGTTTATTATGTAGAAAGGGCTTACAGAACTCCCGATTATGGAATATGGGAAAGAGGAAGTAAAGCAAACGATGGAACACCGGAGGTTCATGCTAGTTCAATTGGCATGGCCAAAGCTGCTTTGGAGGCGATTAACGGATGTAATCTGTTTGGTGATAAAGGAGCATCTTGGAGTGTTATTTATGTTGATATTGATGCACATAATCGAAATAGGAGTATTTTCGAGACTATGCTTCCAAGAGAATCATCTTCAAAGGCAAATATATTTTATATTTCATCTTAGAACTTTGTTATTTGTGAATTGTAGGAAATTGACGCGACTTTATTAACCACAATTTCGTATCCTGCGTTTGCAACACATGAAGATGATTTGTATGCGGCAACTAAACAAAATATAATCAACAAATTAAGAGGACGGTATGGATTTAAGCGATATAGTAGGGATGGTTATAAAACTGTTCTCGAAAATAAAAACAAAAGGTACAAATATTCATTACATTTATCTTTTTACTTCAAATAAAAAATTAAAACTTATTCAGATATTATAACCGTGGTGAAATCAAAAACTTCGAAAATATTGAATGTGAATGGCCGATATTTTACATTTTCATGATAATCGACGGTGTTTTCCGCTCATTACCAGAACAAATTGTCGAATATCAGGAATTATTAAAGCCGTTGATATTCACTGATCAAAATGGAGATCCTTTCATATCAAAATGTTTCTATGTCCCCGAAGAAAACGTCGTTAAAGAGAAAGCTAAACCCGGTTCGACCAATCGTCAACCATACGCTGAACCAGGGCTTTATTTGTGGAACCAGGCAATTTTTATTTTAGCACAGTTGTTAACAGAAGGTTTATTACATGTTAATGAATTGGATCCGATTCGTAGGTATCTTCCGAGTTATAATAGACCGAGAAAAGCGGGCAGATATTCAGCCTTCCAAGTAAATCAATTTTAAAAGTAAAGTTTTATTTTTTCTTTCTTAAATTTAAATTGAAGGGCACAGCGACAGATTTAGTTGTGCAAATAGTTCTTATTGCCGAATCAATGCGATTGCAAGCAATGATGGCGACATATGGCATTCAAACTCAAACTCCACATGAAGTGGAACCGGTGCAGATTTGGTCATCTACACAACTCGTTAAAGTTTATGAACATTTAGGTGTCAATCATAAGTTGAATTTGCAAGGGAGGCCAGTTAGGCCTATTGGTAGTTTGGGAACAAGTAAAGTAAGTTTAGTAATATCATAACAGGTTTATTTTATATTTAAATATTTTTAATTTAAGATTTATAGAATTTGTGGATCAACTGTGTTGTGCTATCCGTTAATTTTCGAAGTATCTGATTTTTATCTCTACCGCGATATGGAGTTGTTAATTGATGATGTAAAGACAGAACTACAATTTGTAGGAAGATATTGGCGATTATCTGGACGTCCAACAGTTTGCCTACTTATGAAAGAGGAACACATGCGAGATCCACAATTCAAGAAAATGTTAGATCTTTTAGCAATGCTGAAGAAAGGATATTGTGAAGGGATTAAAGTGCGTATTGGAAGGCTGCAAAATTTAATTTCCAGCTCATGTGTTGGTATGTACATAAAATATACCTACGCTTTGTAATAACTTTTATTTTTCAATAGAACACTTGGATTTTACAAACATTCTCGATGTTGACTTTTCGGAAGAGAGTGCGCATCAGTTCAAACAACTTGAACATGATTACATTGGTTATCAAAGTTTGACTGACATACACACTGTTAGTCATTGTAATGAAGAATTGTTGGATTATTCTGTACGTAAAATGTTGATTTTAAACTATTTTTACAATATTTTATTGTAATTTATTTCATATTTAGCATTTTGCTAAAAAGCCAACATGTGATATCATCGCCGAGTTACAAAAAACAACCAATATCTACATCCAATGCCAATTGTATGGATTTCTACTAAAGAATGAGAGTAAACTTTACAAAGTAGGAGATGCTACAGTTGAGGAACGTTTGCAGCAGATTTATTATCAGGCTGGATGTGTTAAACATTGGGCGGCTGTACGGTACACAAGCAGTTTGTTAAGACACAATGTCTACTCAATCAGTCCTTTTATTACTGCTGTACTTGTGCATGGAAAACAAGTAAGCAGATTATATTTAAAAAATCTCCGTAATTTCTCATAATATTACTAAAAAATGTTTTTTTTAGTTAACTGTTGGCGTTGTCGGACAAACCGAAACAGTTTTCGACAAACCAATGACCCCCGCAGAAATTCAATCGGTTATGTATACAACCGTGCAACCACACGATGTCATTCAGGCGGTATTACAACAAGAAGTTATTCTATACTGCGGTAGATTAATATCTACTGATCCGGAATTGTTCCGTGGCATCTTAAAAATACGCATTGGTTGGGTATTGGAAGCGATTAAATTGTATTTACAGTTTTCGGGGAGTAAGAAGCAACTGGAAGACAATTCTCCGTATGAGTTGCGCAAGTTATTACTGAAAGTTTTGTCTATTAACGAATGGGCAACCAAAGAAAAGTAAGATATAAAATATTTGTAACATGTGAAACATATTTTAATATGTTTTACAGATTAACAACTTATCAACGAAGACAACTGGAAGGTTGTCTATGCCGTGTGCCAAAACATTTCTATAATGATGTGTGGGATGTTATCACGAGAACTCCTCATGGAATTCGCGTGATGGGAAATCTAATCCCACAACAACCGACGTTGTCAAACATGACGAAATCAGAGATTACTTTTTCACTTCTTGTAGAAGAGGTACTGTTTTTCTATCAGTATTAATTTAATCATTATTTAATTTTTATTTGTATAACAGATGTTGAATCACATTCAGAAACCAGCTTATAGACAATTGGTTGTTGAACTTCTTTCAATTGTTTCAACAATTTTATGTCGAAACCCCGAGCTTTCATTCAATCAACCGCTGGATTTGGAACAATTGGTTAAGGATGCAGCTACCACTTACTGCAATGTATGTTTTTACAATTTTAAGCATAAATTTCTAATGAATATTTATTTTAGGATTTTAACATTAGCGATGTTAAAATTTCATATCTTTTTGATATAAACTATACACAATCGATGGGTTATCTAGCGCGTGCGGTTGTAAATAATATTTTAAACGGTCAGCAAAAGGATCTTTCAGTTGAAAATGATCTTTGCCATGTGCAATAATAATTTACTCTTGTAATCTTTGTTAGAACAAAGTTTTGACAAAAACTACATATTTTACTTTTATTATTACTTACTCTTTTTCCAGCCATTGTAAAATATTGTCTTCAAATTCTTAGTTGCAGTTGCACTAGGTTTGAATCAATTTTCCGTTGCACGCAACCGGAAAACCCTGATGTCTGTAAAAGAGGGGAGAGTGTTTGACGCGCGTGACGTTTCTCGCCGAAGTAGATCCAAATCTAGCGAAAACGGGAGCCAAAAATAAACATTTAGGTTAAACAACTGAACAAAGATGACATCTGTTTCAATATTTTGTTGTTTTCGACATTGTACTGACGGCGTAAACGGCTACCGATTCTCGTCAAAGGCACAAAATGCCCCCAAAGAAAATCCTATTCAGTTAGACACACAGTTTATGGGTATGTTGTATACTTTTTCGTGTTTCTTGAAATCCTATGCAAATGAGTCATTGTATTCAGAGTAGTTGTTGATAACATTGTTTTAAAGGATATGAGGTGGTTATTGTGAAATCTGGACAGCGATTATGCGGGGCAGGTGCGGCGTTGGGTAATGCACCTCTGGTGCAGTCCAAGGCATACTTTGAGGTGAAAATTCAACAAGGTGGTTCTTGGTCAATTGGTTTGGCTACAAGACAGACTGATCTCAGTTTAACACAAGGTAATTACACATTTTTCAATAGTTTTTTTTATTTATGTTAATAACTGGTGATAAATGAATATTGTTGTAGGTGGAATGGATGAATATTCATGGGCTTTATGTAGTGATAACATAATTAGACATAATAAGCAGGATATATATAAGATAGGCACACCCACAAATATAATCTCAAATGGAACCAATATGACACCATTAGCACCTCAGGAAGGCGACATTATAGGCATATCTTATGATCATATTCAATTAAAGTTTTTCTTAAATGGTGCTGAATTGGAGTATCCTGTCACAAATGTAAAGGGAACAGTGTATCCAGCATTGTATGGTAAGTATTACAGTTATGTCATTTTGAGCAGAAGCTGGAGGTAGTTGATTATACAAAAATGGGGTAATGAACTCTAAGAATGAATTTAAGTAGTATTCCACACCATTTTTAGCCAATTTGGCCTTTTGTGTTTTTCTTTTACTGCCCATTATATTAACATGTTGTTCTGGAGTGTTTCAGTTCGTCTTTTGACGTAAATACGTTTTTATTTGAAGTTATATATGCTTAATGCATTGTGAAATGTATTGATTCTTGCAATATTTGAGTATACTCTATTCGGAAACGTTAGAAATGTCGTTAAAAGTGATTAATGAACAAGAAAACAACTAATTGTGATACTTTTAGTGCTTTTTACGTGGAAATGGAGCAAAGTAGTAGGATTTTATTACTTTTTTCTATTTAACTACTTCCTGTTCATGCCCAAATTATATTATATGTGATTATGACAGTTATTATAAATTTTGATTTAATTTACAGTTGATGACGGTGCAATTCTGGATGTAATCCTTGAAAGTTTCAATTTCCCGCCGCCATCGGGTTTTGATAAAATCATGTTGGAACAATCTTTACTATAAGCTCATTCATCATCTTGCATAACTTACTCTCTTCACCTATTTAATTAATTTTCACACTTCACTATCCCTCTTATAATCTTTAAAATGAGTCTTATGCATTAATCCCCTCACACTACGTATAAAGACGACATTTTTCAAACGCTATATCGAAAACGTGCTCTTACTCACCTATCTATATCTATTCTTGATAAGAAAAGTAATTTAACATTATAAACAAAAACAAAAGATCAAATATTAAGTACATATGTGTTAAACGTAATTGGTTCTTGTTTCTTGCTGAATTCTTTTCAAATATTTACTAAATGTTTCGACCACAAAATATTCGGCTTTGAGTGTTCAGTTATTCGCATTCAATTGAAGTTATCGACCAGTTTGTAGAAATTTTCTGATTTGATTATATAAAGACTTATTAAACATTTTGTAAATAGAGAGTAGCAAAATTGTATTTATTATAAATTTTAGGGTGGTCGCAAATGAAATGTGTACATATATTTTTGTATTGCTTACACTTTTATCAATTAGTTCTCGTGATTGCCAAGAGGCGAAGAGGCGCTACGTTTGAACCAAATCAATGAACAGCGCTTGTGTTAAAACCAGACTTGTAAAGGCCGTGTGATTAACTTATTAAGAAAGAAAATGGAATGAATGCATTATGTTATTACTTTGTTTCTTGGTAAATAATTAATAAATGTCCATAAATATATAATCTGGTAATAGAGCAAGTGATAAATAGAATGCTGTATCTGCACAGCCTTTATTTATTTACTTTTTTGTTGTCTATAATATAAAAATGAATCGCAAAATCTGTTGGTAAGCGCATAACTCAACAACGCCTAGACCAATTTGGCCAATTATTTTTTTTAAATGTTCGTTAAAGTCCAAGGATGGTTTTTACGGCGAGAAAAGTTCGAATAATGGCCGGGAAAATCAAAAGGCACCCATTTTCTATAGGATAAAAGTTGGCATTTAGATTCAATCATAGTTATAATTAAATAGTTGATTCCGAGATGGCGCGTTGAAGTGCATTATTAGCAATTCATTACATAATTAATTCCTTTAAAATAAAATTGCGAATCTTATTGATAGAATTGACACATACTATGTCTAGATCAAGAGTTCGCGTATAACTTACATGACTTAATGGAAACATGGAAGGTGAACAATGAAAACTGCAGAATTTAGCACATTTAGCATCATTTTTTATCTTTCAACAAAAAAGTCAATATTTTTGCACTGAAATGCAAGAAGGGTGTCCATCTCAGTCTCATAAATTAACAGGCATTCTCAACAGTAATGTGAAATTGTACTAAATCAAGACGCCTCTGTTTGATCTTCACAATTCACTTCTTGAACTCTAGATGACGGCGATGGTTCTTTCATATGAACTTTCCGCATATGTGAAGTTCTATTATATTTCTCTGCAAAACTTTTTCCACAAATGTCACAACCATAATTCTTTTCACTTGTATGCGTCCTCATGTGCCTTACGAGATGCGATTTTGATAGCATTGCTTTGTCACAAACAATACACTTAAAGTCTCTCAAGCCAAGATGATTCTTTTTGTGAATGTTGTAGGATGTATGCTGGGCAAACTTCTTTCCACAAAATTCACAAACATAGGGAAATATTCCTGCAAATTATTACGTTATTATTTCGTATTATGTGTGTTGGTAGTCTAATTTTACCCATATGTATATTTAGATGTCTTCTTAAATCTACTTTCTGTGTAAAGTTCTTATTGCAGTATTCACAAACATAGAGATGTTTTTTGGTGTGGATATTCATATGTTTGGCAGCATTTCCTTTATTTGTGACCTTGCCACAAATCTCACAGCAATGTTTTTGTTCTTTCTGTTTTTCATCCTGATTGGCCTCATCTGCTGTATCATCATCATCATCCTCTGATATAACTTTTGGCTTGGATTTTCTCTTCACTGCTCTGCTTTGCCTGTGAATAACTGGTTGAGTTTTATCATCTGATAAACTTTTTCTTCTTAATGTCTTTCTCTTTTGCTCTTTGTTATTTTTTATTGGCTCTATCGATTTTGATACTTCTTCATTACTTTTTGTAGAATTACTTTCCTTTTTTGGCTCCAACAGTTCTTGGCATTCACTTGAAATTTCATAACTTTCTTGCTTAATATTCACTTGATGATGTAGATATTTATCAAGCAGGGACTGTTGAATATCTTTGCTTTTTAATAAATAATCCTCCAATTTGTTTAAATTGTCATAACATGCATTACAAATAAATTGTCCTTCTAAAGTCGTTTTTGCATGGATACCAAGCACTGATTTTTTGATGAATTCCTCAACATTTTCATGGCCTAATTCAGTTGTAGCAAACTGTATGTCGATTTTTATATCACGTTTTAGTATTGCTTTGCAAAATAAGCAATGGTCCTCTGGTTCATCCATGATTTCATTCAAAAGTTACAAATAATCTATGCTCATTCCGATATTTTGGGGTTATGTTATGTTTACTGTTGAAGTTTTGTGACATTTTTGTCCTGTGGGAGTCGTCCTCATGTAGGATATCGAAAATAATAGGCGCAATACTCTTAAACTAAAGAATAAAAAAGTCTGTTTGTTTTTAGATTCTTTTGCTTTTAGTAATGTTGTTTATGTTTTCATTTAAAAATCCGTGTCCTCCCACATGAACCCCGTATAACATGGCGTTATTATAGAAACATTTAAAAAATAGCGTCAAATGAAAAATAATTTATAATAAAAATGTATTTGTATATTAAGAAGAACAAACTTTGTGTTTTTTCATATGAGCTGTCAGATTATATCTCTCTGAAAATTTTGCTTTGCAAACTGAGCATTCAAATCGCTTTAATTCGGAATGTATCTTCATATGCCGACTTAAATGCGAATTAAACATAAATGTTCTATCACAAATTTCACATAAAAACTTTCTTACTCCGGCATGTACTTGTTTATGAGCTTGAATCGAACTTCTATGTGAAAATGTTTTATCGCAAAGTTCACATTTGTACGGCCGTACACCGGAATGAATTATTGCATGTCTTTTAAGATCTCTACTATTGCTAAAGAATTTATCACAATTTGAACATTTAATAGAATTTACCTTTAAGTGCGATTTCAAATGTAGTTGAAATTCATTCTTCAAAGTAAAACAATACCCACATATCTCACAACAAAAAGAACCTTTCCCTTTACTCAAATTTGGTTCTAAATTATCTTGCTCTTGGGCTTTTATTGCAACTTTACATGTTTGTTGATGCAGACTTTCAGTAAGAATATTACATTCGCTTCTTGGAGTTGTTGATGTGGCAGTATGAAAAGCATTGCAATTCTCATCATTAATTTTCATATTTTGTAAAGTTTCATGTGCCTTCAGAGATATGTTGATAATCAAATCTTTGATGTGTTTGGCTTTTGTCAAATATTCTTCTAGATCCAGCATTAACATATAGCAAGAGTGACAGCAAAAACTATTATAACATTTTATTTGTTCGTTTTTATGAACAAAGACTTCTTGAATTATAAATTCGTTTAACGTCATTCCTACTTGGAGCATGTGTGTACTTGCAATATCATATTTTTTACTTTCATTTGCTGGTATGAATTTTTGGCAAATGACACATTTAGCAATAGATGTATTTTCCTCTCTTGAAATAGGTGAATCAATAGCTTCAGTAGAGCCAGTTTCAATCTCATCTAAATATAAGTAATAAGTTAAGCATAATTTATTATATCCAATGCATGATCAAACTTACTCAACTTGCTTTTCTCATCAATTACTATTATTATAGGCAAGTGTTGATCAGGCACTGCAGTCTTTTTTAAGTTGGAAGCATTTTTGTTCATTGGAAACCAATGTTGTGCACTAAAATGATTTTGGCAGACACGATAATTCTTAATCACTTTGTTTCTTTCCATTTTCTTTAGTTTAAAATTGCCAATTGCATCTATCCATTGATTATATCTCTGAAATAAAATATATCCAAATAATAACTTAGTTGTTTATCTATATACATGCATATTAAGAGGCAGTTAATAGTATATACTATTTATAATACTACATATTTGTGATACTATTTGATTATTTTAGTTATAAAGTACATACTATAACATTATCTTCTCTAGGAAACTGATGAACTGTTGTTTGTTTATTAGTGTTTGAGCAATTTGGTACACAACAACTGAATACCATTTTAAATAAATGTCAATATATACAGGTACATTCGAAAACAATTCAATAATTAGTTTTATTTTACTTTGTTTCGCGTTGTAATCAAATCAAACATAAAAACATGAAAAGCACAGAAACATGTGTAAACATTTCTCAGTTTTGGTATGCCCACTAGACATATTTACGCATGCGTATATTTAAATATTTTGACACGCAATGTTTAAAAATACCTACCACTTTCTTATATACAAATTTTGAAATATAATTAAAAATATAATTTACAAATTGTAATATATTTCGCATACATAATAATGGGTTATATTTAGCTTAAATTTAGTTTTAAACTGAAATATATTCTTGGTACGCAGCGCCATGGCGACGATGGCGGCCGCAATGCGCGTCTTTCCTCTTTGTTTTGTTAGTTTTGTTTACATGTAAGTGCCGGATGTTTTTGGGTGTTATTGCCACAAAAACACTTAACAAAACTGCAAATAGAATGTAACTTACCACAGCAGACTCAGATAACAAAGAGGTAAACAATCGCATTGCATGTAATGATTCATAAACGTGCATAAAGCGCAATCTGAGCAGATATTTGAATTTGTATCAACTTAGGTTATGAATTTCTCTTGGTTTCTTGTTGCGTATTTATTTTAAACGTAATATGTAACATAAAGTACGTACTTAGAGTATTTGAAATGTATTGACAGAATTATTACGAGTGGTAGCGTTTTGTAATATATTGATTTATGCCTCTCTTTCTATGCAATGATGATGCTCTGGCTAAGAGGATGCAGTCACAGCTCGAAGCTGCACTCTTAGGTCATGGTAGTGGTGGTACTAACCCGACCGGTGAGGATGACGATAAAGAGGAGCACGAGGACGAGCACGACGATGTCGAAGACGACATTGACGAGGTTCACACATTAATCGTTTACTCATCTCACTCATTTGTCTCTTGCAAATTGCTGCACTGCTTAACTTTTTTCACTGGGAAATATCAAAATTATTAAAACAAGAGGGATATAGAGGAATCAACGCATTGTTGATTGAGCGCTTTTTTTTCCAGTTGAAAAAATTGCATGACTGACTTTGCATGGCTTACTGAGATCGCGAAAATACATTGCACAAGCTAAACTGCTGGTATCTTCATTGCTGGTGTATTTGGTGTATTGTTTTCTGTAGGATTGTGATGTGGAGAGTGGCCATCGAGCGGGTAGAGCGAGTTGTAGTAATGTATCGACAAGCAGAACGGTCACGCTGCAGATGCTGCTTGCTGCGGACGTGCTGCAGCCGGCCGTCGGCAGCATGTCTATCGAGTACATGGTAAAATCTCAGATTCTCATTCCCGATATCCCTATACAAGCCTGAGGTATATCCAAAGACATTCCATTACAAGATGTAATATTCCAGGGTCAGCGGTTTATCGGGGATCTACTAGAAGACGGCAAGATCCGCAGTCAGGAAACGGATTTGGTTTTTGCATCACCGAGCGCATGGGCCATTGCATGCAAACGATTTATTAATCCCGATAAGAAGAGTGGCTGCGGTTGGTCATCTGTGAAATACAAAGGGCGGAAATTAGACGTTTATAAGAATATATTTTATAAGAAATTAAAAACCGAGATGAGTCGACGCGATGAGTCGGAGGATGAACAGTTGCCGCAATTGCAGGCGGAGCTGCATCCACCCGTACAACCACAATATATTCAGCGGGTTGTTGTAAAACACAATGCGATTGCAAATCGCACTTTTATGCAGTTAGTATTTTCTTCTCAGCGGTACACAGAAACAAAAATTATATTCTGTAATTTGTTTGTGATTACAGTGATGCGAATACATTAATAGAATGTATTCCATTTTCGAATTTGGGTAAAATTCAGCCATTTTTATTGTCAATTTCAACCAATGCGGCGCTCCTGATGGATTTTCACTCACATCTGACTGGTAACGAAGTGTGTGGGTACTTGGGTGGGCATTGGGACGTCAATTCACACAGTAAGCCACTTTATAAAGCATAAAACAATGATTTATCAACTGTTTTTAATAGATTTACAAGTAACACATGCATTTCCATGTCGGAATACAAAATCCGACCGGGAAAATGCGGTTTCCGTTGAGATGGAAATACAAAAAACGATTGAAAAACAAAGGCTGACATTGGTTGGGTGGTATCACTCCCATCCATTTACTCCAGCCACTCCTACTCTGCGGGATATCGACGCCCAATTAGATTATCAAATCAAAATGAAAGGTTTAACTGATAATAATTACACACCGTGTATTGGTATAATTATTTGTAAGTATTTTATTATTTAGTTAAGTAGTGATATTGGTACTGAATAATATTTTGTAGCACCTTATAATTATGATAATGGTTCATTGGAATCAAGTATAATTGCATATTGGGTGATTCCACCTCCAGAGAATAAGCCTAACGAATATGGCCGCCCAATGCAAATGTCATATTCGGTAACACAAGACGCATCTCTTCCTGCGCCTGTTAAGGATGAGTTAGCCAAGTGTGCTGCATATTACAGGAAGCATAAGGAGCTTATTATCTTTACAGAAAAGTATCTTAACAATACAACGTTCATTGAAAAGTTAAAAAACACTTTGTTATCGAAACTGCCGAAAGATGAAAATGAGGCCCTCTGGGCGTACGTTCGAGAACTTCTTGATTGTCCACAAGAGGCGGATCCTGTGTTAACTATACCACAGGTTCCACAAGTTACAAAGAGTACATGTTTGCCTCCATTAAATGCACCTGTGCTTAACAGCGGCCTGAATAGTAATTTGATGTTGACTTCCGACATTGCAAACGTACTTTTCAACTCTGGAAAGTTTCCGAGCGCATCAAGCATTCTCGGCTTGCCTGACCCAATGGCGCATAGCACACTTGCTGCAAATAACATGTTTCTGCAGACGAATATGTTTAAGATGCAGGATATCCTTAAGCCGATGTCCACCAGCAGCCCAAAGGGGAAAGAAACAAAAAGTACAACCCCACTCAAGATACCCACGGATTTGAAGAGTTTTACAGCGGAGTTTTATAAGAATCTGCAGTTGGAGACAGATACGAATAGCAAGAACAATGCGGCGAATGTTTCCGATGTTGCGGATTTGAGTATTATCAGCAGTATTAATAACAGTGACAAATCGGAGACGACTGTTAGTTTGGATCTTAGCAAAGCTCGTGGTGGCGATTGTAGCTTGGATCTCACTGTTTCGCCGAATAAAACTGAAAAAAGTAATGTGAATGAGACTGGAAGTTTGGATACTCTAGATTTGAGTAAGTCTAATCGACAGCAGTCTACCAATGGCAATGAAGACGAGCCTATGAATCTTACGGCAACTAATTGACTGGCAATGATGATTATTATATTTGTATATGTATTGGGATACTGGCGCGTGGAAAATGTATTATGCAAATCTCTTCAGAAAGAAAAACCGAATTTCATGAAATTGCCTTAATTTTAACTATCTTATCGAGTTTGTGATTTTTTTTTTATATAATGCAACTTCTTTTTATATCATATCGGTTTTTATTTTGTATTTCAACGGTTTTATAGGTAAATTATTTATTTTTTCAATGTATGATGTATATCTAGAATATTTGTTTACATATGTATACAACACAATATAATCAATACTAATGGATACTTGTTTTGTAGTTGAAATAGATCATGTTATGGATCATTTAGTACAAATTTTTGTGAGAAATGGTTAATTGAGCATTTGCTTCATAAAGTGCTATAATTGAATTAATGTTTATGGGTATAATCATGATTTGTGCTAAAAAAAACTCAAATGTGCCATATATTAATTTGTTTTCCAATATTGTGACCCCCATCACATCTAAACATACAACATAGTAAACATAACCTAGAATTCCAACTGATTCTCACAATATCTACAAAACGATTAAAAATATTGACAAAACAAACACATTTTGCACAATCATATAATCATGAAACCTGCAGTTGTTGCCGACGAAATGTTCCCCGAGGGAGCGGGGCCATACATGGACCTAGAAGAAGTAAATGTTTTCAATTATTTTACTGTTTTGGCTGTAACAAAATTAAAACAAAATAATCTAATTATTTCTTTGTAGGCTGGTGGATCCAGTGGATTGTTGATGGACCTGGCTGCTAATGAGAAGTTTGTTCATGCAGACTTTTATAATGGTAACAATTGTTTTAGTTTGATTCCATTAATAACACCTTTAGTTTCAGACTTTGATGATTTATATGATGACGATGATTGCCAATAAATATGAAGAAAGCAAATAAATTATAACATTAGGCACTCATGGAAAAGTGCAGGTAATTATTTATATACTTGACTATTTGGCTTAATAAAACCAATCGAATGTGAATCAATGTATTTATTTCATTAATAATATCAATAATTACAAGTTATTATTAATTCATCCAATGGCAAACATTATAATGATTCAATCCAGGTCTTCATCATCAAAGAGCTCACCAAAATCTACAAATTTGTATTAAATTCAGTTATAATTTTGTTCTAAATACATGCTCCTATGTATTACCATTCTGAAAATCCACGTGAACAAAGCGTTCCGGCGAAATCTCGACGCTCATTAAATTCGAACCACCCATCTATAGATAACAGCGAAGTAGTTACTAGCTGATAAGAATATCTATACAATGCACTTACCTCATCGCAATCCATGAAAGGTCCTTCCGGAAACATTTCGTCAACAACTTGAGCTGGCTTCATGTTTGCTTAACTAAGTTTTCTTTATTTAAGCAATCAATTTACTCTAATATTTCTGATATTGTCGCGACGGATATTTCGCTAGCACGTGCAAATGCTCTATGATGTCAAAAGCGTGTATTGTAAGGTGTCAGCTGCAGGATACGATAACGACTACAATCAGTGTTTGCCTATAATGCAAATATTGAAATCGGATGCGCAATGGAAGGTAGTTTACAAACATAACACAACTCATATTACAATAACCACTGTTTTAGGTATGGTTACATGGAATTATCGCGTTTATCTTGATGAGAAAGTAAATAATTGAATATTTCAAGTGAATTCCGTCAATCATATTTGTTTATGAAGCAGTTAAGTAATAATTAGAAGAAGTAGTTCTTTTATGTTTGATATTTTATTGTCACTTTTGTTTTTCATTTCAGCGCTCAGTTGGAATTTAACATTTTACAATGTTTAATTATATTCTCTTCTTCTTTGTAGATCTAGGAAATGCAGTTGTGATATTTAAAAAGGGTTAAATTATTTTTTACATATTTAGCATGCCCGTTAATATCTCTCAAATACTTTTATTTCTAAGTGGTAAAGAAACACATAATGGTAAACTTAAAAACAAACATATAAATATAAAATACACTTGCAAATAAAGTTAAGTTGCATAAAAATGTCTAGAAAACACACTTAACTTAATATATTATAAAAATTGTAGATGTTTAAGCTCCTTATTAGTTTTGGTTTGGTGTAATTCATGTATGTGGTAGTATCATTATACTGGCTGTGCTCTACCTAGAGAAATTCATACAGTTATCAGCCCAACAAGTGAAACAATGAGAAATTCATATCCTACATTCAATTATATCACAAATCTTATTCGTATTTCAATGTTATTTCTATAAGACTATCAAACAGAACTAAAACAATCACAAACATCACAAGTTTAGTTTTATTAATATGTTGGTGCCTATGTTTTAGTGTTCGTTGCAATTAGATTAGTCGGTGATGATTCGCATTGCATATTGTTGATAATGCCTCGATGTAAGATTCGCATCTTTGAAAGGATGAGATGCGATTCAGTCATTCTTTGCTATCTAATTAAATAATGCAGATTTTTATAATGCCCAAAAATAGGTTCTATAGCCTAACCTGGAAGTTGCCCTAAACATTAACCTCAATGCGCATCTTCATGTTGGCAGCCACCTTTATGTTGGTAGCACTGAACGACTTCCGACCTGTAGCGCGTTAGTAATGGACGATTTATGAGAAGCGTGAAGTCGTTCAAAAGTTGTAGTGCAACACCGTTTTCAAAATACATATGCAGATTTTATGTAAGTACATATCTAATTAAAGCACGATAAATTCTTCATCGGTATGTAATCTTCCTCCCGCTTCGTTTCGGTAAACCTAAAACCAAGAAAGCCCGTGTGTTAATTCGCCACCATATCCGCCATCACCAAAATAAATCTATTCTATGTGCAAACACACAGCTAGAGCACTGCGACGCCAAATAAAACAAGTTGCTGATAATATAAGACACCTTTATTTGTTCAAATAGTATTCATTACACATTTTGTGGTAAATTAAAGAGTATATGTCATGTTATTAGAGGGATGCTAGTAATTGTTCTCGAAAGTCTCACAGCCTGCGAAAAATCGGGGCGCCGCCTCCAATCACGACACAACGTGAGTTGTATAATTAGTTGTCCCATTTTCTTATTATACCCCATATACCAAGGCATAGTTATATTACGTTAGGCTGTCTACGCATATATTGTTACTAATCATGGCCTTTGCACCACTTGCACTTGTCAACAAAACCGAGTTAGTAAACTAGACTCATGAGTGGCCATGATAACAGTTAGGTTATTCTTGTATAGTCGATTAAATTCTACGCTTACATATTGGGAAGAGGTTTGAGAAATCAAAGTGCAAAACGAGTTCCATCGAAAATGTTTAAAATTTATAAATTTCTAAACCAATACACACGTAAACAAAAAAAAAAAATCGAGTTTTCATGTTTGCTACAAAATATATATACGAGAGTGTAACTACGCGTTCAAACAACAAAAACCAATGCATTCACGCTCAATTTCCCCATAAAATCATCGCTGTTTTTAAACTACTAACAGCAAACTATTTAAATTCGTTCAAATCGTGAATGCAACAACGCAACTTTGTTCGTAAACCACACCGGTGGTACGCCCACATAGATTTTTCCATTTAACATACACAAATATAATTTGAATTCATGAATAAAACCGAATCTTAACTCCATATTTATAAAAAAAAATAATCCAGCATTAACATATAGTTTATTAATCACATTTTCTTTCTTTTTTTCTTTTCGAGTGTGAAGGACTCCATTTCATGTCCAACGGCCTAACGATAATGATTGAGCATATAAACTAGTAGAAGCACTGCGTTTATTCAATTAGAGAGATGATGAGAAAATATATTCACGTTACAAGTAAAATTAGGAAGTTACGTTCAATAGATACAACTAAAACTTAAACTTGCAAATCTGGCAACATGAAACGGATACCTTTGTTTTTTAAATTACCAAATTCAATCTTCCTGTTTGTTTTTTTTTTTCTTTTCTGTTTTTTTAAATCCCCGCTTAGAGTTTTCTTTTTAAATCTTTTCTGATTCGAATTTCCTATCAGTACCAAATCTCTCTAGCCGTGTAGTGCATTTGGGACTCACATTGAAAGGTATCCGCGCGCCTGCGAGCGTTTCCTGCCGATCAGGTACGCGCCGAGCACGATGATGATGAGCGCGGCCAGCGCGCACCCGGCTGCGATGGGTACAATGTCGGGCGTGCCCGCCGGTTCGCAATCGACAGCTGAAAAACAAACATTACAATTTAAACACCGCCGTTCCGCACATGATTGCATGACATTACATGACATAACCAAACGACTGTTATTCATTCTAACAAAAATCAAATTCGCTAGTTATTAAAAATAAGTACTAACCATCAGCGAATCCTTTCGAATTTTTCGCCGCAAATGCCTGCAATTGCAAGTGGCCAATATGCATATAACCCATGGTGGCATTCGAGTTATCCATGGTCAGGTTGAAGGTTTGAATTTTAGCACACTTGTACGACATCTTCTCAGTGGTGTTGAACAAACTCTTTCCGTACATCAGATTAATAGTTTGGGAGCCTAATTTAAATAGAAATCAAAATATTATTTATTTATTTAAGTCCGGAGAAAAGCAAACTTACTGTTATCCATGTCTGGGAAGTTCTTCTCATCCTTGTACAGAGACAAATTAATTTGATCAACCAAGTACCATGTTCCGTTTACTTTGGTGGTGAAATCAAACACGACGGAGTTGTTGCCCCAGGAGAGTTTAAGTTTCTCAGACAAATTGTCGCAGTTTCCGGTTGCGTTCGCATCCTTGGGAATGTCGACATAGGCATGCCACGTTTCGTTGTGCTTTGTATGATAGGGCACTTCAAACTGAATGGCCATTTTAGCAAAGATACACGAGCCGTTAATGGGTGCCACGTAGCTAATGTTCCAATCACCAGTAGGAGGATCAATATTCGCAGGTGGTTTTGGTGGTGCTGGGGTTGGTGGTGGAGGTGTAGGCTTCGTCGGTGGGGGAGTGGTTGGTGCGACCGTGGTCGTTGGTGTAGTTGGTTTAGTTGTTGGAGTTGTTGGTGTTGTTGGTTTGGTTGGAACTGTGGGGGCGATTGTAGTGGTAGCGGGCGTAGTCGGCTTCGTAGGTTTAGTTGGTTCAGTTGGTTTTACTGTGGTGGAAGATGGAGCAGGTGTAGGCATCACTGTAAAAGGCCCATCGGGAGTTTTTACTGGTTCGCCCTTCGGAACAGAGACTTCCATATCAGCTGCTGGAGCTTGACCTACAATTGAAAAGAATAAAACAATTAAAAACATATTTATCATTAGCACATATAATGACTGCACATATATTATATTCAAGATATCACAGTGTAACAATATCATAGTGTTACAGTCTTGCAAAGTTAGACGCGTCCATTATAAAAATTGCAGCAAATTATCTCCGATAAATAATTTGTTTATCTGTTGGAAAGCTGAGTCAGGCTTTCCGGCAGGCAGATAATGTCTGTGCGATGCCGTAAAACGTCGGCAGAAACCACGCGCTGATTCAACGCGCGCCGCACAGAATTAACCAAATATTTACAATCGTGTGCAAACGCTAACACGTCGTTATCGAAACACATTAACATATTGGCTGTAAAGCCAAGGGGCGACTCAGTGCAGACCGTCGTTGCAGCTGATAATACAAAATACAAAAAACACGTTATACGGAATAGTTGATATTACGGCCGACTATCAACACTATTACGCATACATTGCGGCGTCGGCCAGAAGCGAAGCCATAAAAAATGGACAAATTCCATCAATTCTAGAATACATATGTACTCCTAATCGTCCATCGTGAATAGATCTGGAATATTTTCAACTTCGTTTGTCGAGCGTTGAAGAGGCACACAAATAAAGAATATATAGATATAAACCGGTCTCTAGACTGGAATAACAATGGAAGCAAACACTTTTTCAACACCTCTCAGGACTATATATATTCGAATGAATCCCAAACGGAATATTATGTCTTTTGTACTTCCCCGGAGAAGATAATTGAATGTTATTCTAAAATAAGTTAAAAAAGCACATGTTATGCACGACCTCAAATATTATTTTATTTACTTGGTGTCTAAGGTTAATATTTGTTTATTTAGAAAAAAAAAACATCGATAAATTTCGTCAAACCCGTTATCATTGCAATACAATTTGGTAATATAATTCAATGCTTCTCCAGACAACTTCCGTATTTCAATGTCTCGACATTCAAATTTTGCGCAACATTGCGTCCGCTCACGTATATATCTATATCCGATGCCGGCGTAATTTGTTTCTACGTGTTTTTGTTTCAATGACCGGCGGGTATCATCGCCCATCGGCAAATTTTAAAAATACTTATTGGAGGTCATCTGATACAACCAACGCGGCGAACAAAGCGACACAAAACGTTGCGGTTGTTTCTATCGTTTGTCGTTTCCACACGAGTCTCGGCGAGGCGAGATTCGGCCGAAATTGCGCCGCACATCGCCGCCATTCATGCACAAATGCAACTCATGCGAACGTCGCAAAGGAGGCTGAGGTTTTCACATGCGGAGTTGTATGCAATGGCTAATTAGATATCACGTGAACGCTGCGTGATTGTTTTGCGATCGTAGCAGCAATGCAGGCCAGGTCGAGGTGTTTCGACATTTTGACGCCGCTGTTGCTCGGTGCACAGTAGTGACAACAAGCCAAGCATATTTTTACTCACCGGATGCGAGAGCCAGCAGCACGCTGACAACGAGGAGAGACGGTAGCCGGCCCATGGCTGGTTACGATGGTGTTATTGCGGGCTGATGAATTTTATTCCACAGAACTCTCGCCCTTGGCTGAATGAGACACACCGCGCGCTGCACAGCGGAGACCTGAGACTGCGGCTTTCACTAACGACGACGACCAGCTGAACGAATCAACTGGATAGGCGGATGTGCCGTTGCTTGACTGTTCGTGTGTGTGGGGCGGTTGTTGAGTAGCAGAGCTGAGTAGTGCAGTGTTTGTTCGAGAATCGAGGCAACTCTGGCGATCTGCAATGTTCCAACTGCGAACAAATGCGAATTAACGCGAACGCCAGACACCGTCAGACTTATCAAAAGCTCGTGTTGCTCGTGCGACGTTGTCGTTTGTTTTGTTATTCGTTGCGTTTGTTTGCGTTTGCGCACTTGTCATTTGTTTAAAATGGCACCAATTTTAAAACATGTTTTGTATAACAACGACGCAATTACTACTGCGTTTACTAAACATATTCAAACATTGTTTAGTCGTGTGAAACCTGTTGAAATTCTCAGCCTCGGTAGTGTTTAGCGATGATATAAAAATCAGCGTAAACTTGTTGGTGTTTTGTTTTTATCCTGCACTTGCCAGCCATTTTGTTTTTAATGTGATTCAAGTATTAGTGTGAAATTAACAACCACAATGTTCGTAAAAAACCTAAATAAGTATTAAACTTGTCAGAATTAAAAATGGCAATTGTGGTGAAAATTCGTGACCATTATGACACAAATTCCTTGAAATCGATTACCAACCATTGCAAATATCTGAAAATAGCAATAAACATGTGTAAATGATAAGGTTTTACGTCAGACGGTCAATTCCGAGATAAATTAATAACACATTACTTTCAAGGATATTCGGATGACTTGGACTTGCATAAATCGGATTTCTTTTTCGAAGTCAAAGTCATCTGAGCAGCCAGCCTAGTCTCGTGGCCAACGAGTGTTTTTTATCTTGACCTGCTCCGCTTTGAACTAAAGTGTAATATGCGTAATCCTAGTGAGCGTCACCTTCCTTTTTCACGTCGCACGATTTGATCGGTTCTTACAACAAATACGATGATTATGACATTGATTATTGCATTGCTAACGTAAGGAATGCACGAAGCGCGCGTGACAATACTATTCTGTGTTTTCCATGTTTTGTCCAGGCGAAAACATTTGTGATTCATTTTTTTGTTTTGTTATTTTAATGGTAGAACAATGAAAATTGTATACACACGTGAATGATTATCGTGTACAGCGCATACTTTAAATAGATCAAACGAATATTTAAGTATCAAGTTTCATTTGTGGCAGAAAATAACATTTAAGGAGAAAAGGTTTATTATGGGCGGAGTATTTTTTCCTTTTATCTCTATTTTATTTAATTGCATTACACCTACCTTTTTTTAAATGAAGAAATATCATTTTTATAGTGCAGTAGTTGTGATGGTTGCTAATCTGTCATCACAGTTTACCCAGTGTTGCAATTTTCATTTTGTGCTGTTTGCATACATTTTTTCTTGAGCGCCCTCTGATAGACTGATGATAAACTAAGTGAACAAGGATTGACATACGGTATTTTAACCAAACTCAACGTAGCATTATTGCACTGCACTACTTTCTGAATTAACTCCTAAAGTTATAAAGAAATATACAATAGTGTTAAATATGTTACAAAGATCTAAGCTTTTGAATCTTTCTCTAATATTTTTTCTTCTTAAAGTTATCCGATTAATCTTCAATTCAGGCCGAAGATAAATTTGAAAAATTAAAGATTTTTGGTTGTGTTGTAATAACTGGCGTAACACCTAACACCCATTATCTATAATATAAAAATGAATCGCAAAATCTGTTGGTAAGCGCATAACTCAACAACACCTAAACCAATTTGGCCAATTCTTTTTTTAAATGTTTGTTATAGTTCAAGGATGGTTTTTACGGCGAGAAAAACTCGAATAACTGTCGGGAAAACCCTAAAGACAGCCCTTTTCTATAGGATAAAAGTTGGCATTGAGATTCAATCATAGTTATAGTTAAATAGTTGAATCCGAGATGGCGCGCTGAAGTGCATTATTAGCAATTCTTTATATAATTAATTTCTTTAAAATACAATTGCGAATCTTATTGATAGCGTTGACACAATGCGTTAAACACTACCGGAACGAAGTCGCGGGCAAAAACTAGTATTATTATATTGCCAGGAATCAAAAACCTAGTTAAACGAATAATGTGTTTTATTTCTGCTTAAAGAAGCTGCACGATATATTTTTTAAAGTTTTTTTTGCGCTCTTTATTTATTGCATTTTGGCAAATTGCAATACACATAACATAGTCATCGTTAACTAATGTAATTAAATGCTACGTAAAGTAAAACTACGTACGCATTTCATCAACGAAAACAATAAATGTCGACGCAAGAACGCAAACGAAAACCAGATCGAACGCAAGACACGCTCGAAACCAAACGATGAGCAAATATATATATACTTTATGAACAATGAACGAATGGCCGGGCAGTTTCTAACGTTTTTTTTTCTTCATTAAATATTATTTTTTACTTTTCACCTAGATTAATTGCTAAATTTTACTCATTTTTGTTTTGCATTATAACATTCAACGATATCGCAACGCGCATGTCTTTTCATGTCCTGTGTTCCATCAACCCTTAAACTAAACCAATCGTAAATCGTCTTGCAACGCACGAGTCGAACGAATCAAACAAGATCAAAACCGAAAGCGTGATACGTTGCAAACTAATCGCTTAAAAGCAAAACTTGATGAACCAATGCGAATAATAATAATCGTACGGCGTGTGTGTTGTGTGAGTGTGCGAACGAACAGAAAACAATTCTCGAATCGTCCCTCGGTTGTGGTTTGGTTTCAATTGTTTCGTATTTAGATATTTATTATTTCTCAACAAACACTTAATAATAGTATAATATTTCGTCTATTATCATTTCTCATTTTCTTCAAATATTTGCAATATTTTCACCATATTTAGTTTAGTGTTAAGTATTAATTAGATTTGTTTTGCTTGCTTGTTTCTTGTTTGGTTGTTCGTTTGTTTCGGTTGTCGCAAAATCGTCTCACACATCTTAATACATATTATTTATCTCATTCATCCTCTTATTAGTTCTTTGTTATTATTTTATACACATAATAATTAGGGTAACAATAAATTATCTCGTATTTGTTATTTCTCGCCTAGTGTATATGCTCTGCGTTTTATCTTTGGTATTCGTGCTGTTTGTTTGCATTTCGATTCGAAACGAGAAAATCATACCGGTAAAACGTGCCGCGTTTTTGTATCAACGTTCGCTTGTTTGTTGTATGCAATTAACCTTACTTTTACATTGTAATTTTATACACAGCGCGCAGGCGCATAGCAAGTGTGTGTGGTGTGTGTTTTGTATATGAGTGTGTGTTGTGTGTATGGGGCGTGTACGCGTGTACATTTGGTTGCATACATCACGCACTCCTCTATGCTTCATAAATAACACTTTTGTTTCGTTCGCGTTTCGTAAACAAAACATCATTTGTCCTAAGTAATAGTAGCTAAATAGGTTGTAGCGACACGATTTGTTCACGATTTCATCCAGTTTATCATCGTTAATATTAATAAGTAATAAGCGAATAATCTCGTAATCTCTAACCTGACGAAAACGCGTCGCGCCCTCGAACACGGATGGCGCGCCGCCATCTTCTTATTAATGTGTTTTTATTTTGTCTTACATTTGTAATCACTAAACGTACTACCAAAACGAATGTGTAAGTAAGTACGATGGCAGATGGCAGAATTATGTCCTCCTCTTTTTTTTTTTGGTTTCTCAATTGGTTTATACATTGAACCTTCGTGTGTGTGTGTTTTGCAACGCACCGCGTGCGTCGTTCGTTTTGCATTTGTTTTGCGCATTTACATCGTTTCTTAAATTCTTACATTTTCTGACAAAGTCGTCTACGTTTTTTTTGTTTTCATTACATTTTTTTTTTTGGATTTATTACAATTAGTGAAATCGTGTGTCTTCTGTTTGTGTGAATGGTTGGTTGCCTACTCGACAGTATCCTCACGACTTTGCATTATTCTCCTGCGTTTTTCTCTGTTTCTGAAATAGTTTTGAACTTCAACTAATTAATTAGTAATTTTAGTTTGTATGTTATCTAATCCTAGCTAGACCGTCACGCTTCTTAAGACTTATTAAGATTTATTAATTAATTGGTAATTTAATTTGTTTAGTATGTTTTGTTTCATTTGTTCTTATTGGTTGTTGCATTTTGTTCACAAAGGTGATGGTTTCCTGTTTGTTTTTTACTGGTAATTTAATTAAAAATTTATTTTATATGCACTACGAAGGTATTTCTCTTAAACCTGCTCTTTCGTTTTTATACGCGCTAGAAACGAAAAAAATATTGTTCAGATGTTCAGTTGTCAACATTTTCTCCGCTCATCTTTCATTTGTTCTTCGTTAATCTTAGTTATTTTTTTGTTTGTTTTGTTTTTTCGTTACTATTAGTAATATTTTAACAATTTGAGTAAGATGGCAGTTGTTAAAGCCCTAAAATGACTCAACGCCCTTCGTTTTGTCCGATGTTGTTCGTGTTGATGAATGTTGTTGGGCTTCAGCGTGTTTGGTATGCTTCGAGCTGGTGCGTTGAGTTTTGTCGGTTGTTGAGTTTTTAAACAATGATGTAATACGTGCGCGGGGAGGATGATGCGTTGTCGGCGGCGTTCTTCTGCCGTTCGCTCGCTGCTCGCTGCTCGCGGCGGCGGCGAGTAGCTTAATCGACCATCAGTTCGAAGTGCACCGAGCCGCGGCGATCGACACGATCGTGGTAAATGTTTCGCGCCCACGCCTTGCATTCGATATTTATCAAGACACCCCCTGGAAATAATCACCATCGCCATTAGACCGGTTCAAATTTTAGATTAGGTTAGGTTAGGTGTACTCACGTGTAGGTTTCTCAAAGTATACGGCGACAAGTGGGCTGAGATAGCCGTCCTGATTCATGAACGGGAAGTACTTGCCGGAGAAGCCCGCCGATGGGAAGAACTGAATCGGGCCGATGTTTTCGATATCAGCCGGATTCTCACCCTCACAAGTGACCCACACAAATTTGTGCTGCAACCCAACATACACATCAATCAACAAACACATTCAAAATCATTCTAACTTTCAAACTTTAGATATAATTAAATATAAAAATACCTACCGCATATTCATTGGGCCCGTAGTTCATGTTCTGCAGCTGCTCCTTGAGATGTGGTGGCATATTAGGTGGGAGACCAGTATTGTTGTAGTATTCTGGTTTCCAGCCGTAAATCTTGTTTAGCTTGAGGAAGATACACGGCCCACCGATGCTCGAATTGTAGTTAAATCCGTCACGTGCGAGACACGGCGCCCATTTGTTGTCCATTGCCACATCACAAACACGTCCCGGTTCCGGTTCCTGCTTGCCAGCGCAGTTCTCGATGTTGGAGGCGTGCGGTAGTTTCTCCTTTTTGTAATTCACCTCCAAGAAGTTGGTCAACTCCTCCTGCCAGTATTGTACATTGCCTCGGTCGTTTGATTTGTACCAAATGAGCGTACTCTCCACGTTGCTGTCTGGTGGCATCGGCCTGAAGCCCAACCCTATATGAAAAAATAAAGCAAATTATGTGAATCCCCTACAAATCGTATTTGTATTATATAGCCTTACCTGGATTACTACCGATGAGGGATTCATCCAACATCCATTTGGGTTTCTTCGCGTCGAGGGTCTGATAGAATACGGCCAGCATCGCGGCGAAGAAGCCTATCAGAGCGGCGTAGAAAAGTACGTAGAAAAGCAGGATTTTGGCTGCAAACAACACAATAAGCCACATTAGTCTTCATCGTCGCTGTGACATTCATTAAATGCATTTTATTGTTTGCAATAAAAATATAGCGCGCTTCAATGCGTGAAAAAGTAGGTTAAGGCTTCGCCAAGCTTCGTACGATTTCGCTGCGCGTATGTTTGGTTACATAAAGCCAAGGGGGAAAAACAGCAGGATCAATAATGGCGGCGTCGAGCCGCCGTGCCGGTCTCTTTTCTGCCTTTCGGCATTTTTTCACGTACCTAGCGTGTGGTTTATCCCATATTATTAGACTTTAACACGTTGAGGACGGCGCGGTTTTGGGTGCTGTCGCATCGGGCGGCGTTTGAGCATTTTCAACTCCGTCTAATTAATTCAGCTGTGCGCCACTGGTGGTTATGCATTGCTGTATCAAAAAGCGATTGTTTTTGCAGTTGCGTCGCCATTTATTTATTTTCTTTGTAATGAATGCCTTTATCTTTAGAGTCCGACCGAAACTATGTGCGAACTGAGATGTCAAGTGACGACCACGACTAGGCGCGAGTTAGCCGAACGACGCACGATAATTCACGAACACTGAGTTTCGGTTCTGCCAAAAGTTTCAGCCAATTTTTGGCCGAAACCAAATTTGAAGCCAAAACTGAAACTTTGGTCGGTCACTATTTATTATAATATGTAATCTGAGTGACACATTTGATGACAAAGATGCAAGGCCCTGATTGTATAGGTGAAACGAGGAGAAGATATAACCTAACCAGTGGCGTAGTCAAAAATGAATAAGTCTCGTTTCAAATGAGCCGTGTACCACCGGTGGTACACGCCGTCCCACAGACCAGACTCGTGTGTACCACCGGTGGTACACGCCGTCCTTAACGTGTTAAACAAAGCACATTAGAAATGATTTATACAAAAACTTAAATTGAGGTTATGTGAGAAAATAGGTGTCCGAAAAGTTGTCAACTTTGTATACATGTTAATTTGAAAATTAACAAAATGACAAGCCGTTTTAATTACGCCCCAGTTTTAATTAGCTCTGCGTGAAACATGGTGATTATTCAATTATTAATTTCACATTTACCCAAGTTAAATTATGCCTCCATCTACTGGCGAATCGCTAATTATTTTAATGTTACTCACTACGATATGCAAATCCACTATAAACAATTGGTTTTGGCACTTTCTCCACTATCTTGTCAGCCATTTTTAATACTTCAAAGTTCGTTAACGACTTTTGTTCTGATTCTACACAGTTGTATAAATTTTTGGCACAAAATTTAATCAATGCCTGAACGTGAAATTATTGCTTGCATCGGATCCAACGACATGTTAACGCGATCGGCTCACCAAAATACTAAAGGTTTGCACCATGAGATATCGTTAATAAAAGTAGCCATTGTTATGTGCAATCGTGACCGCTGCAGTCGCTTCATCAATATCATTATCGTATTGTATGAGACACTAGCACATTGATAAACAATCGTGACCTTTTGTGTGTCATAGCGAGCAACAACAACTTTATACAGACACAAATCAATTAATCACTGAAATATTACGTATTTATTTACAGTGTTGCATTAATTAATTTGTAAAAGTCAATTTAATTTTTTATTTTCAACAATTTTCATCAATTTAGTACCCTGTAGATGATAATTACTAAATTATATTACGATAAATATGTTAAGCATGTGCGGTAATTTATATTTACATTTTGTGATTGTAATAATGTTATGCAATGTGTCTGCCGTCTGTTCGGAAACAATTACATCATCTATGGTATCGTTTTAGGAAATTTCAGTATTCGGTTATTTTTATTAACCTCAAAATGTGATTTCTTAATATTGTTGGTTATGGTTGGTTTTGTTGATCTTAGCTGGATTACATTATTCATTCATGGCCTTCCGATGGGAATACGCGTACTAGGATTTTATTGCTTGTTGGATTTCAGCCTTTTATGTGTTTCTATGGCACTAAACTACGATCACGTCTTACGTTTCGTTCTTTTTTCTTAATGTTTTGTTCTGATGTGTCGTAAAATACATCCAGCGTTATTTTGTCGTTCAATATTTTAATATTGCACGATAATCACAACTGGGATTTGTAAACTTAGTATTACTAGTTATTTTTGTCATGTTTTACAACAATTTTGTTGATATTTATTGGATTTATTTATATCACAACTTGGCTGTATGAGTTTTTAATGATGAGCATACATTCGTGCTGGTACAAATTACAAAATTACGTAATAATGTAATAATGTAATAGGTAATAACAGGTACAGAAAAACAGAAAATAGACGTTGGGGACATAGGCGGGGGACTTTTTTTTATGATATAACGCTCGGCGTGATGCGATTGCGTGCGACTTAATTGCTAGATCTTTTCGTTTTAATTTACATTCATACGAGCGTGTTTACGAGGAGTGCTCATTCAATATTCAAGAGTTAACAATAGGCAAACATGAAATGGTCATATGTCAACGAAATGCAACGAAAAAAGGTTAACTAAGCGAAGTGTGTTAATAATATTGACAATAATAAATATTTATAATAAAAACAACTTTTTTTATAAAAGTTATAATTGGTAGGAAGAAGTATGAGTTGCAAATTTTATATTTTGAATTCTTTGTCCTGTAATTGTCTGTATAAACCACTCAAAGAAAAATACATGACATATTTGTATATAAAATAACCTAAATGTTTAGCTAAAATGGCCGTGGGTATATTTTAAAATATATATAATTACTTAACATTAGTGTGTCAGTGGGTCGACTATCTCGTCATTAATTTGCATGCGCGGCGCGCCACGAGCAAAATGTGCATTCGAGCATCTGGGCGTCGGGACGTTTGTCGCCGAGTGGCAACTTTCCATCCACTTTGTAGTGGCTGTTTGTTCCGTTTTAAACGCACACACAAGCATTGTGTCAAACATTGTATGCCAAAGTGGCAATCTTTCGCACGTTTTTCGCTTTTGTGCAACTATGAATCCATTCAAATCGAATGTCGCAATAGTTGCCTACCATTGCAAAAGAAAGAAAGACTACTGACATCTATATAACTTTCTGGTGACTAGCAATTTCGGAGGTTAAATTATAACCTAAATATACACTGCAAGTGCGAAACTGGTGCAAGTTAAGTCGAGTACTGGGAGAAAGTGGTGAACGACAGTGTTGATGAGTGAGAAGGCATTAGGGCGATGATGGTGGAGTCCTTTGCGTGCGTTTGCACAGTTTGTCGGAGGGCGCCGATGCCCTGGCACCCGTCGGCACAACCGCACGCCACCGCGCGGCGCTCGCCCCTCGGCGCCGCCGGCACCGAAATCGATAACTCCGACTTATCGCAATAACGCATAACGGTGGCTATCTGTTTCGTGCGCGTATACGGTAAGCACATGCAAAAGGACACTTTCACGCACATTATTCACGATAACCTGCAAGCGGAAAGTATGCATACGCAACAGCATAAAAAGCATACAAGAAGGCTTAGAAATTCATTGAAAATTGACCTTGAAAATACAAAATGGCCGCTGTGACAAGACCATAACCTTTATGTAAGAAATATTTACTAAAACTGTAATAGATTTTATAATATTTAGGAATATAATCGAAAACATTTCAGGAAAATCCCGAGACTATTTATAGAAATACTATGGATATCCGTAATTATTAATAACCCATCGATTGGGAGGCGTTTCCAGAACGAGTGATTAATGATTGACGCGTTCGACGCGACGTCCGCACACGGACGATTGACGTTAATAACTCATCAACGATGAAATTTGTCAATCGTGGTTTAATGATCTGCGCTCTCGAAATAACAAACAAGTACCTACGAAAAATATAAAGTTTATCTGTTTAAAATCGATTGGATGCTACGATAGACTTCAAAGTTTCGTTATAGAAGCGCACGTGATTGATCAATAAATCACGCGCTAATAAAAGTTAAATGTGAAAAACATTGACTGCCTCATCAACTAAATGGTAATGTCGAACGAATATATGTATGCTTTCTACTTGAAAATGAAGTAAATCGGGAACACATTGCCGTTTAATGGTGCGATTTACAGCATGACAAAGTTATAACAAACTGAAATCGTAAACACACGAGTGTACCCGATGGTGTATAGAAAAGTTTATTGCTTTTTCGAAAGATGTTTAAAATAGTTGTGCGAAAGTGTCGCCAACACTGGTTTCGAACAACTTCGAAGTGGAACAGCATCGAACAACAGTAAACGAAGTCGATTAGTACTTATTAGTGTTTCGTCTGGTGCTTACTCCCGACGTAATGTTTACTTAAATGCACTTTGGTTACATGTCAGACATTTCACATTAAATCGATTTGAGTTCGTTAAATATACTTAAGTGATAGTGATCTTGACGATAACGATAACGATGACGGCTATGCTTGAGTCTCGTTTCTTTAGTGAAATATCACAGAAAGTTGGAACTTGAAAAAATGTTATTTAAACAATTCTTATCGCTGTGGGAATAAATTTTTGATTTTGAGTAACTGAAACGTATTAAAATGTAAGTATCGGAAGGCAGGAGCTTAACGAAAGGAGAAATAACACAGCGATAAATCAATACGACCAATGATGCATGCAAGTTTCGACAAGTACAACGATGACGCGGTCCCTAATTGAAATTCGAATTGGAAAATTAGTTTTGCTTCGTGCTCGTAATATTAGAGTTAAATATTTACACGTGCCATTAATTTTTGATGCCTATTTCAGTTTATTTTTGTTTTAAACGTTTAAATAATTGCATTTTTTTGAAATTGGTTTACGACTGACAGTTAAAGAGGAAAGTGTAAAGTGTTCCCCGCAGAAATTCAAATTCGGGGATAAATTTGTTTAGCAAACTTTTGCCACTTTTACATCTTTATATATTCATGAAGATATCAGGATGTCAAGTAGTTTCTACTTCTACGTTTCCTTTGGGTCCTCTCAGAGCAATTTGTGAGCAAATCTTTTCAAAAAAACTTTTTCTATTGGTATAATATTTAATTTCATCAAATAGTTTCAATCAATTTTATTGATTATTCGCAATTCTTGTCCTCGTCAATATAATTCTAATCCTGGTCTTAATCTGAAGCAAAATCCAGTGTAATAACATTTTTCCTTCACTTCAAGGATAACGCCGCACCGCACATAACTCAATATTCGTTTTCTATTTCAACCCCATTTTAGCAATGTGTTTGTCCTTATTGCATATGTATGCGTGTGGTGAGGTCGGAAGGAAGAGAGAAAAGGGGTGGAAAATAAGAGAGAGGCAGCCAGCGTCAGAACGAAAATCGACCCGATGCGGGTGGCCGTGTGGAGGCGCGGGGCGTCGTCCCTAATCGACGGCGGCTGCCGCTCTTCCGCCATTGTGCAGCGCGCACGCGCTGTGACATTTCGACATTTCTACATCTCCGCTGCTGCTGCTGCGAATAATGGACGGAAAGGATGGAAATTTCGCGCGTTACGTAACGGTTACCACATTTTCGCCAGAGGATTGGCGCGAATAATAAATGAAAATTTAATTTTTAATTTTGTTCCGTGTGTTCCACTCATTGGGATATTAGGGTGATTGTGTAAATCTGGGCTACTTTTGACAGGTCGGGGGACACTAAAAATTGATTTTCCAATCAGGAAAAGTTATGTAAGATTTTACCAGAAAAGATAAATGAAAATTCTTAAATAAGATGCATTTCTGTATTCATACAGAGTGTTTGATAAGTTGTGGGGTAAAATTTCGAGGATTATGTAATGATTAACGACAAAAATCGATATTTTTTGTAAATCTCTTTGGCCTTCATAGAATTTGACCGTTTTTTAAGCCATAGAACTAACAGCGTATTTAAATATTTGTGAGGATATTCTGGGTCAGTCCATGGTTGATGTGTGAGCATGTACTCACCCCAGCTGGAGCCGGTGCGGCCCATGAATTGCGAGGTCTCCGAGTTCCACAGGAACTGCTTGAAGCCCTCCCATTTGCCCAGCTTTGGCGGGCGCGTATAATACTCGGACTTCTTATCCGACATCTTGGCTGCTGGCTGGCTGGCTGGCGGCTGATTCTGCACCCTTTCCGGCTGCTGCGCTACTCGTGTGCTGCCCTTCTCGCGTTACCAAGTGCGTGCGTGCGTCACGACCCGCGCTGCCCACTGGAACTGGCGTCGCGGCGCTGGGGGTGGCGGTGGCGGCAACCGCGGCGGCGCTCGTCCTTCGAGGAGCGACGGTGGCGCTGCGCGCGCGCCGGTTTCGCGGTCTGCGCTTCGATCGAACCCACACGCCTGGAACGCGCACGAACGGACTGCCCGATTTATGACGCCAAAGACCTGCCTGCCGCAGCGGGAATTTTATCGTCGCACGGGAAGGACGGGAATATGGTTATATGGCGACATCTGGCGAGTTTCTAAATTCATCACATCGCAGTCGGCGATGGCGGATAAACAAACTGTTACGTAAGGTATTTTAACATAGGCCACCAAATATACACAATGTACAAGTTTTAATGTAAAACAAGTCAGTACTGCGGAACCAATTTATTTTACATATACATTTCTTTGTCTAATTTGGTATTTTTGCAACTTTTCCAATTAGCCACTCAAAAACCAACGCACACACTCCAAAGATATTACCAATGAACCACAAACCAAATGCGCCTTCCAAGTGATTCAACGTAAGCACAACATCATGTTTATGATCGTGATCATGGCTATTCCCATGTACATGATCATGAGCATGGCCAGCCCAATGCCCCTGATATCGATAAATGTAGTATTTCGCCCAAAAATTTATAAAACCTGCATTAACTAATTGTTTAATAACAGTATTAATTTGTGCTCTCAGAAAGAAATTCTTCGAATAGATAAATCTGTATGTGTCAACAAGCACCACATCATCATCATTTGTTATTATGTATATTTTAGATGATCCGTCGTGATTGGTCAACTCAGGTACCAACTTATAATACTTTGTGAAAAATTCTCCTTGAATTGTAATTGCCTCTCCTTTAGCAACACGATTTGTCCAGTATTCCATGCCTTCATCATCAGTATAATATGTGTACTTATTATAAATTACACTTGCCCGGGGAATATGGGGATTATCGAAGATGGATTTGAAATTTCGCACACCTCCAACAATCAAATTACTTTGAACAACCTCGCCGTAGGAGGAAATTTGATGTGCACACTGGGGATTTGTCAAAACATTAATCATAGCACTTTGGTAACATGCTCCGACAATCATCATAAAAATGCTGTAGGAAATGTAAAGTATACGGTTGGGTAGCATATTGGGTTGCCTAGCAGTTGAGAGATAGATGAATAATTGAAATATGGTTAAAATCGTGAATCCAAATTTTGTATATCTTCTATCTGCAGATTTGTTCAAAGAAGATTGGACAATACTTGAAAACCAGAGAAGAACAGCAATCAGCAGTAAAAATACAAGCAATACAATCCAGGTTGTCCATTTGAATATAATTAATAATAGTTTCCATCTCTCTAGACGGTGCGCACTTGGAACTACCCAGAACATTTTCTCGGAAAAGAAATTGTCCGAATAGTGAAAATCCAGTCTTCGGTCTGCTGAATATGAAACAGCCCCAAGTCCAATCTTGAAACGCTGTTTGTATAGTTTAGTAAGTAACCCTGACCAACTGCCATCTTTCTTTTTGAAGCCCCAACTTCCAGCAATGCTATGGTAAGCCTTTTCAAATGTTACATTATAACGGTTTTCTATTTCGTTTAGAATTAATATCTCAACGCCATCTTCCGGTGAGATAACAAACGGTGGAAAATGCATTGCAATTGCTTGAATTGTACAGTTGAGACGACTAAAACCTCTCTCAACATGATACATTTTAAGGTTAAAATTTCCTTGTGTACATGTATTAAGTAAAGTTAACACGGGTTGAGTAGCGCAGTATTTTGATTCTTTCGCGAATAAATCCAACGTGTACAATTCAAAAACATCTTTAGAGGCAGGTATTAACAATCTGGTTGTAAATTTTGAGTTTTCGTAAGTTATGTCTAATATATCTTGTGCCAGATCTGTAGTATTGTGAGGTAAATTTGTATAGATGAGAAGAAATTCAGCGGAGATATTATATCCTCTCAAATATTCAATTCTTTTCATGCTATTATTAAAGTCTTGGAGATTGTCGATGAATATAAGATACATTTGGGTTCGTCGTGTGGTTATAAAATACCTCTTGCAAATTCTTTCGGTTTTATTTTTCGAGTTGCAGGTTTCGATGCATTTTTCAAATGATGGAAACTGGTGTTCAGTTCCATTGGTGATTTCATAATAAACAGTATAGTGATCTGTCATTTTTTGTAGCATCTTGGTCACTGTAGATATGATAGAGTAGCCTGGTTCTTTGGTTATGTTGCCATTGAAAATAGTAATCAATTGCTTGCCTTTTGATGTTTCTCGTGTTACATTCCAGATGCAATTACTTGCAAATTTAATATCAATTGTGCTTGGAATGGTGAAGATTTCGTTAGTATTAATATTTTGGGCGAATATTAAATTGAAATAATTGAAAACAGTGAACAATTTTATAAGTTGTAGTGAAATTTTAACAGGATTCGACATGTTAACGAATAGAAAACGACGTGATTTGTGCATGGTCGATGGATATATATTTTATATTATATATTTTATGAGGAAACACTTACATAACATTTATTTTTCAAAACAATTGATCAATTTACAAGTACAATCAAATATGTTAGATGATAATACTGATAAGATATTTCAAAACATTTTTAGAATAATACATTTAGTTCCCTCGGTTTTCTTCGCTATATCTTCTTTCTTCAGTTGAATCTTATTGATTTTATATAATAATATAACACACTTGTTATTAAAACAGCAACACTTTGCTATCCGCCACTTAACTAAAAAAATAAAACTGATTTATTATTAAACAATCAATTTGTTAGATAGGTTTTGAGGAAATTTTATTAACACTTAGTTATACAACAAGAACATTTTTAATTCATGAAGACCAATACCAATTTTCATCAAATATTTAACACTATTTAAATAACAAATTTTTATACTTTAATAGTTGTTCTGCTTTTCAAAACAGAGATAAATCCAACAAATCATAGATCATTAAAATCTCTGAAGCCGTTCTTGAGTTATAATTGCTGTAACTATCGCGACTTTGTTTTGTATACATAGATTAACAACTCAATGATAAACGCACACATTCCAAGGAAATTACCAAAGAGTATTAAAGTAAATGCCCCTTCCAAGTGTTTCATTGTGAGCACAACTTCATGATTATCATAATTCTGCTCATATTCATCCATTGTCAATTCTCCTTGATAATAATGAACATAGTACTTAGCCCATAAATTAATAAATCCTCCATTAATTAAATGTTCTATAACACCATTAATTTGTGTTTTGAGAAAGAAATTCTTTGAAAATATAAATCTATATGTGTCTATTATGACCACATCATCGTCATTTGCGATAATGTATAATTTAGATGAACCATCTTCATTGGTCAACTCTGGTAGTTTTAACTTTTGGTAAAACTTTGTGAAGAACTCTCCTTGAATGGTAAGAGCTTCACCTTTAGCTACACGCTTCATCCAGTACTCCATACCTTCATCTTCTGTATAATATGTGTATTTATTATGAATCACCATTGCTCTATGACTGTGCGAAATATTAAAGAAAGCTTTGAAATTCCGTATTCCTCCTATAGTCAAAGAACTCTCTACGACCTCTTCATCGGAGGAAATTTGATGTTCGTATTTAGGTTCTGTTAAAACAGTTATTAACGCACTTTGGTAAAATGATGCAACGAGAATTATAAAGAACGCATAGGAAATAAATAGTATACGGTTGGCTAACATGCGTGGTTGCCTGCCTGCTGGGATAGAAATTGTAACTTGGACTGTAGTCAAAATGGCGGCTGGAAATTTTTTAAAACTTTTATCCAGCGTTCCAGTTCCACGATTACTTGAAAACCATAGCAGTAGTGTAATTAATATTAAACTGGCCAAAAGACTGAGCCAAGTAGACCATTTAAATATAATTAAGAGGAGTTTCCACTTCTCTACGAGATTTGCAGTTGGTGCGATCCAAAACATTTTTTCAGAGAAGAAATCCAAAGAGTAGTCAAAGTCAATTAGTCTGTCTTCTATATACGAAACGGCTCCAGCTCCGATCATAAATCGATCATAATACAATGTATTAAGTAATCCGGACCAGTTGCCATCTTTCATTTTATAACCCCAACTTCCGGCTATATTGTGATAAGACTTTTCAAAGGATACGTTGAGATGCTTTTCAATTAAATGAAGAATTAAAACTTCGACACCATGGTTCCTTGATATTACATACGGAGGAAAATGCATCAAAGCTACTCTGATTGAACAATTTAATCTAGAGTAGTCTGTTACATGTCTGTATACTTTGAGGTTAAAATTTCCACGATTGCATGTGTTAAGTAAGGTGAGCACAGGTTGTGTGGCACAGTATTTTGCTTCTTGTGCAAACAAATCAAACGTGTACAACTCAAACACGTCTTTTTTAGATGGAATTAACAATGTGGTTGCAAATTTTGATTTGTCATAAGTTATTTGAAGAATATCCTGTGCCAGATCTTTAGTATTTTGATGTAAATTTGTATAAACAAGAAAAAACTCCGCGGAAATATTATATGTTTTCATAGATTCAATTCTCATTAGGTTCTCGTAAAAGTCTTCAAGACTATCGATGAAAACAAGGTACATTTGTGTTTTTCTCGGATTTTTGAAAAAATGTTTATAGATTTTTGTGGTTTCATTCTTTGAATTGCAATTTTCAATGCATTTTGCAAATGATTGAAAATTGAGAAGAGTTCCGTTTGTGATTTCGTAGCAGACTGTATAGTGGTCTGTCATTTTATGCAGCATCTTAGTCACTGTAGACATTAGAGAATAGCCGGGTTCTTTGGTTATGTTGCTATTTAAAATTGTTACCATATGTTTCGGTTTTACAGTTTCTTGCGTTACATTTACAATGCATTTACTTGCAAATGTAATATCAATGGGGCTGAAAATGTTATAGGCAGCTTTTTGATTGAGTTTTTGAGAAAATGTGAAAACATTTAAAATGCTTATAAATAACAAGACTTCAATAATTTGTAGAATAATTACTGTGGAATTTGACATGTTGATGCTACCAGTAGGAAAGTATATGTTTTGTGGAAGCGAGGTAGATAATCACATATTTTATACGGCGCATATTAGTGCTGTCAACAATGTCATCATTTGTTTAGTCAACTGTAAAGCTTAGGTGACAAAAGAATAGGTCATTTTGTGATTGATTAAAGATTTCTAATTTGAAGGCGGGTGTCCATTATCCAGAAAGTGACGTTTAATTTCTTCATTTTCTTTTATTAATATTTCGTTTTTGTTATATTCATAATAACGCACAATTCGTTAATTAATTAAACATGAGCTACAAGAATACTTCTACCGAAAGAGAAATTTAAATGTCACACTGAACTATATTAGGCAATATTACTCATCGCACCATATATATTTTTAAAAGTATGTTTTAATGATACAGATGACACATATAGACCAGTCATGATGAATTTCCGGCCAGAGAACTAATTTTATAAATGTGTATCTGTTTGTTTGTATATTTATGACGCTTTCACGCAAAAATCAGTCAATTAATTTTGATACATTTTCGTATAGCGATATTTTCGAGCAAGGAAAATCAAATAGGCTATTTTTTGTTGTAAAAACATAACCGGAAGGGTGTAAAATAAGAGATAAAAGTTGGTGTAAAGATACAATCAGATCAATAGTTTAATAATTCGAGTGAAAATAACACTAAAGTTCATTATTGGCATTTTTTATTTCTTCTAATTATAATCGAGACTTTTCTTGGCTGATTTCGCTTATGGGTCCAGAGCATAAGTAAATTTTGGGTATTAATAATTAAATTCAACAATTTCAATCACAAAGGCATTCTGCTTTATTTTCTGACATTCTTTGTTGTAAAGTAATTAAATATAACAAATAATCACAACCTAATTGTACAATTCGCATACAAACTAAATAATAAAAATAGGCACTCGCATGCCCTGCGGTTTTCGTACAATAATTAACAGCATCTAGTATACTTCATTAAATAACTAACGTATATTCTCTGCAATCCGGAACGCCTAAAATACATCTCGTTTAAATCCACATAAAAATATATGTTAATATAGTATATTACAATCGTTTTAAATTAACTTCCGGATTGTTGAGACTATACTGTACAAGTTACAAACTACACACTACTCGAAACACAAGTTGCATTCATGTGCTTTGCACGCGTGGAAACAATGACAATCGTTTAGAAATTAAGTGATAATCATCATCTGCGCATTAAATTAAAATACATTGGTATTGGTACATATTATCGTTCACAAATCTTACTATCTAGGCTACACAAACAAACACGACGAGGTAAAATGATAAATAATTTCTCTTGGGACAGTTATTAATTACACTAATGTACAACATCTTTTTGTTTCGTCTGCAAACGAATATTATGATAGGCACTCGTAACGGTTTCAAAAATTAGCACATATTTTATATCGGCTGCCCGTGTCTGTAAAAGCAAAAAGCTCCGACCGACAGTTTTGTTCTTCATTAACAACATGCTTTGGATGGCGTGGGCGGTGCTTAGCTGATTATGGCGGTGGTGTATCAATTGCAGGCGTGGTTTATATATCACGCATAATTTCGAAACGTACAGATCCTTCGCGTTGATTACCACCGCGATAGTTGATGTTTTTCGCCCACGATCTGCATTCGATGTTGATGAGGACATTTGCTACAAAGTAAAAAATACATTAATAAAAACTGGGAATAAATTATGTGGGGGTTTACTTACGTGTAGGTTGACGAATCTGTACAGCTACAATTGGGCTAAGATAACCAGGGGCGTTCCTGTAAGGGTAGTAATATGATGGAAATCCCTGCGAAGGGAGATATTCGAATTGACTGACGTGTTCCTTATCGGCAGGATGTTCGCCAATACAGCTGACCCATACTTGTTTACGTTGCTGTTGTCAAATGAATTAAATGATTAAATATATTATTATAGTTCATTTTGTATTGTGGCCTTACGCTAGGAGGAAGTCCTACGATTTTGTCCTTTAATTGTTGAGGCATATTTTCGGGCAAGTTTTTGGGGTCATCATAGTAATCCGGAACCCAATCGAAAATCTAAAAAATATAATCTTTATATATATATTGCAAAAGTTTGTTAGTTACGCTTTCACGCAAAAACGACTCGACCTACTTTGATGAAATTTTCTACACATGTTTCCAAGGGTATTATGAAGAACATTAGAAAAAAAAAACAACAAAAAGTTTCCAAATGTAAAAGGCTTGTCACTTCGTAACATCTATAATACAAAAATTAATCGCAAAATCCGTTGGAAAGCGCATAACTCAACAACCCCTAAACCAATTTGGCCAACTTTTTTTTTAAATGTTCGTCAAATTCCTAGGATGGTTTTCACGGCGAGAAAAATTCGAATAATTGCCGGGAAAACCCTAAAGACAGCTTTTTTCTATAGGATAAAAGTTGGCATTGAAATTCACTCATAGTTATAGTTAAATAGTTGAATCCGAGATGGCGCGCTGAAGTGCATTATTAGCAATTCTTTATATAATTAATTTCTTTAAAATAAAATTGCAAATTTTATTGATAGAATTGACACATACTATGTGTAGAATAAGAGAGTAAAACCGAATTACATTATTATTAAACACTACCGAGACGAAGTCGCAGGCAAAATCTACTTTATTACAAAATAACAAATTTGATTTTAAACCACGTACCCTGTTTAATTTAAGGAAAATACAAGGTGATGAGCTATTGAAACCATAATGGTTCTTTGGACCACAAGCTCCGAACTTATCGAGATCCACATGACACACTTGATCACCAGTGGGCATCTTGTCGAAATCGCAGATTACACGGTTCTTACCCGTGCTGGCTTCCCTGTAGGCTACAATAGAATAAAAAAATAATTAATTATTACTACTTAATTCATTTTTCAATACAATATCACTTACGTTGCATGAAATCTTCAGTGAAGCCCACCCACTTTTGAATGCTGGTAGCATTGCGTGAGTTAAACCAGATCAGCGAACCTTCCTCAGTGCGATTTGAAATAGGGCGGAAACCCAGACCGGGATTATTACCAATCAGACTACTATCCATCTTCCATTTGGGTTCACGCTCGTCAATGGTTGAGAGTAATCCCTTCATGCATATCGAAAATAACGCCGCCAATACAGCGTAAAATATTAGATAGAAGAATAAAATTTGAGCTGAAATTTAAAAAAAAATGCACATGTTACAATTTAATTCTTTTAATATATGCAGTCAAACATACTCTATACATGAATACCATAACCTAACATGACGATATGTTAGAGTTTGGTTAAATTAAGAAGAGAAATGTATTAAAATTAAAGTATCTCGACGCATTCATACCTACGTAAAACATTAGACAAGTTATGTATATATAAGAGTGTTGTACGTAGGTATATATGTGTTTTTGAGACGTTATTTCGGGAAGATGTATTTTTGGTACGGCACCGATTTAAAGCCCGTGACGTGCACACGCACGCGGTCTGTCGGGCCAAAATGAAAAACACATTGCGCTCGCTTTGACTCGCATTGCCCAGCGCATGTTGTGCTCCTTTCTTCGAACATTTTAAAAAAAGACCGCCATCATTGACGTGCGTTACAAGCGGTTGCGTTTTGAGTTGTGCGTTGTGCAAGGTTTCATCACATTTTCCAACGTGATTCAGCGTTAGCATAAGGAAAGAAATTTATTTTCAATAACGTCAATTATATTTGTTATTATATAAAGCTAGGTACCTACTATAAGGCGGACATTCAAATGCCAACCAGAAATATTCAGCGTGCACATTTTCTACGCCTTGTTCATGATTGAGGTTTTAATTGTTATAATTATGTCTGGATTCTACATATTCACAAACAATTAAATATCAATCATTGCCGGTGATTAAAGCATCACTACAAGGCGCAAGAATAATAATTGGATGATTACTGTTATTAATGAATCAGTGGTAAACCAATCGTCTTATATTTTTTTTTTATTTAAAATTTGTTCAGTACTAAATTCTGATTGTAAAAATATGTTTTTTTTCAATTTTTCCTTTCGAAAAATTAAATTTTAGTTGTTTCTAACTATATGTGCAATAATTTTATCAACAAAATATTTGTAGTTAGTAATTTTTTGAAATAATTTGAGTTTTTTGTTTGTTTGTGACGTTTTCACTCAAATATCACTCAATCATTATATTTGATAAATTTTAGTATAGAAATATTTATGATCAAAAGAAAGCATGTAGGCTACATTTTGTTGCAAAAATATAACTTAAAAGGCGAAAAAAAAAAAAAGAATAAAAGTTGGTACGGCCATTTAATCATAGTTTTAGTCATATTATTCAACCTGAGATGGCGCTTATGTACAATATTAACTTCTTTTGTCATTTAAGTTAAAATTAAGAATTTTATTGGCGAATTTGGCAAATAGGCCCAAAAAAATCACTTATTAATAAAATCAATATTAATTATCAATAAAATTAACTATAACTCCAGTAATACACTACTTAAGATTAAACTCAAATCGATCTCAATTTCATACATAAACGGTGGAAAAAGACCATTTAAAAAACAATTTACTGTTTGGCATTGACAGAGCCCTGAACACGACACCGTGACGACTTCATTGATTCTTTAATCGCCGTTGTTTGAAACTGATAGATTAGGTTGGATTGCATATAGGAACATGATACCAAAGTGTTCAATGCTTTTAACCGTACACAACACTAGATAATAATTTCAAGCACGCAATAACAGCGCCAAATAAAATTCGAAAACAATTTCGAAAAACTTAACAAATCGCCAAATTAAACATCTTGCGTGTTTTACATCAATTAATATTTTCTCGCGCTGCCGGCCAATGGCTAATTAAACGAGTACACAAACACACACTCCTAATAATCCTATACATCTAAAGAATGATCTGTTTGAAGATCATTAGTCCAGCATAAGTCCGAGATATGTAGTCGACCCAGTGTCTGTTGATTTACCTGCGCGCACACCTTGACGTTTTTTACGCCGACTGTGCACGTATAGGTGAGCGTATCATATTTGTGTACACCACACGTATTCGTAAATTCGTATTGGTATCGATGTCGCGTGTTTGCGCTCCGCTTCGCGTTCGCGTTACTCTGCTGCATTGGGTTCAAACCAGTTATTTCAAGGTATCGCCGGTGTACAGGTAAGCGCATGATGATAATAAATCGAACGCACACAAAGTGCTAAATAATAAGACGACTTAACCGCCAGTCGGTGACGTTGTAATTTATGCCGACATTGCGAACGCCCGCCGATTCTCCTAATTGGATTCGTACAACCTAACCTAGCATAACCTAAGTTGAATAATATTTAGGTAGTTATTTAAATTGATTTTTTTAATGTGTTTTGCCAATTGTTCATTGTTTTGTGTGAAAATCGTAGCGAATTGTGCATACACCTACGATTTTTTTACTATATTGACACAACAAGTCAGGTCGATCGGAAAGTTGATTGACGCACACGTGGAATAAATATGTGGCATAATCAGGCAGGTAATGAACGTGTGCAGTCACACTGTTCGTGGTTACAACACGGCATATTATTATTCCGATTGTTATGCAATTCAGTGTAGAAACGAGAAAATTCACTTGCAATGAATTTATAACGTCAATCATAAAGTTAGCTTATTAAAAAAAATATTGTTTTTAGTGGAAAGTTACTGACACTGCTCAGTTGCTCATAGCCAACCACACAATTAATTAAAATTGTGGGGCCAACAGGAAATGTAAACCGAAATGTATTACATTTCTAAAATGAGGAAATTCCAATGATACGCTAATTGAAATTGTTGCTAAAATACTGAATTAGATGTGACGATATTGCTCATCTCTTAATATTTATTTTTAAATTTCTGCACAATTTCCAGTGTTACCAACTTAAATGGCAACACTGGATTCAGTATTCCGTACTATGGGTAATTTAAGGTTAGAATCACCTAATAAACCCCAAATAACCTAATAAACCCCAAATAAACGATCTGATTGTACATGTTCATATTACTCTGTTTGAATAATAAAGCGATAAGGTAAGTACTATTGCCTCAATTTATTGTTTTGTCTAAATGTAACAATTTTCCAGCGATAACATGAACTACGACAACCTGCACACCACCTGTACACGTTGTTTGCGGACCTTTCGAAAAACACACAGAGACAGTTTGCTTACAGATGAGCACACGGCAACGAATAAAATGGCGGTACTGGCACAAGTGCAGAGTAATCAATTAATTAGGTAAATATTTACGTAGTGACGCAATTATATTATGAACTAGAGAACTGTAATGGATTAATGGCTTTTTCCAAACTAACACAAACGCACTTAAGTGTTCAGTGATTGAGAAATATACTTTTCATAATAAAAAAAAAAAACAGTATGACTTGGTAACCGACATTAAGGGAAAGAAATTACATATTGATTTATGAAATGATATTACATATTTTCAACTTTTATTTGTTTTCTGCTTTCATGTGTATTGTTATATTGTAAAGAGTTGGATAGTCCAGTTTTGAACTGGTATGAACTGATTTAAACAGCTGTTGCTTCAAGAGCGTGCATCTTTTTTTTAAAGAAAGAGGAAAATATCAATTATTGAAACAAAATTAGGTATAAGAAAGAGAAGGTAAAACTGATTACTCGTTTCTACCTGGGAAGTGTAAGCCAGTAACTTTCCAACTTCTAATTCAGCCGTTATCTGAGCAGTTTACTTCATCTCCATTTAAATTTTCATTTCGCTGCGTCATCCTGTCAGTTTTTAAATCACAACATTTAGGAGTAAATCAAATATGAAAAGGTGTATTTATCAAGTTTTTCTTAAGTTTGCGTGCATGTTTTTTTAAGTGCGTGTTTTTACTAATTCGATAATAATTTCGTTTTGATATTTCGCTTTAATCTCGAGTTCAAGATCATCAAGAAGGCAATTGAACCAAAAACTTCAAAGGCTTCAATGTCAAAACTACAACTTATTGAATTTATATTTATTAAAGAATAAGTATTTTATTTATACGTGATATTTTTGGCCCACGAGGCGAAACATCAAACTCAAATCAAAAAATGTAATTTAATATCACGTATAAATAAAATTAAGAAAAATCTTTTTCAATCCCAAATATTGTCCAACAAAGCAACAACAAATGTTTGAAATTCAAATCCAAAGTCACATCAGGAAGGAAGGACACACGTGTTTAGTCTTTTATAGAATCTATTTAGTTTCGTAGTTTGCAAAGTGTTTGAAGGAAGCTCTTGAAACGCAAATAGCCTTGGATTCAAGTTCGAGCGCCGAAAAAGGGGCCGCGGACAAAAGAAACCAAAACGAGTCAAGCAATATATTGAAATGGATGAAACAACGAAGGTAAGCACGCCTGCAAAAAAAACGAGCTCACACAGGGTTCAACAGGTCCATCACGTAATGTAAAATCTTCACTTCGCCTGCCAACGACTAAAGATGTAAACGCAAATAAGAACACAGTCCAGTCCAGTTCTCATATATGCTCTCAGAGTAAACCAGATGACAAAAAAAAAAAACTGGTATTCAGACAACACGTGTTACATAAAACGGAAACATGTGATGGTTGCTCCACTCTCATTCTTCAATACATAATCAAAAATTTTGACAAAAAAAAGATTTTGCATTGTCTGAAAACGAATACTTGTTGCTTAGTAGTTTTGTTAGTTGATTAAACAGCTTAGCGGGTGTGCTGTGAATTAATTCGAGGCTAATTAACCTGCGCCGTAACGTGCGAGCCCACATCGTCGTTGGAGCGATTAATTGACGAAGGTCAATGACAATTTATTCGTTACGCAACGCGTTTTTTTCGTTTCGTCGAAAAAAGGTTTCACAAATCACGACATCATGAATCCTTATCAACGTATTTATACCAACTTTGCAAAAGCATTAATGTGTACCTATAGTAATATATACTTATATAGAATATTCATGAATATGCTTGATAACATTGTGCCCAGTGTAATTTGATCTGAGCATATCGCACATATGCTGGTCGTGGCACATGGCATCCAGCTGATAATGAAATTCGCCGTTGGTATTATATAATTTTCCCAAGGCGCTCGTTCTTTCATCATAACACAACGCTAGTGTTTATCGTATTATTTACTCGGCTCTGTGTAATGAGATACATTGTATTGCGATTATTTTCGCCAAATCAGCACAGCACCATACGATGAGCATCAAAAGGGTGGGATTTATTTGCACATTAACAGAAAATATCGAACACGTGCTATGTTATCTTATCTAATAAATAGTTGAATTGATTTTCAATTTATTCGTGAATTTAAATTTCGCGCGGTTGTAATACCGTTGCTATGGTGACGTTCTCTTTTATAACCTGATTTTTAAATGAGAATTCTGTGTAATTCATGTTTTTGTACCTGTGATTTGTAACAATTGTTATTGTGAAATTGTGTAATGACTCGTGTGCAATGATTTTTTTCTCGCACGCTCTGCATTTTGACACCTTTTCCACGTCAATGCAGCCATTACACTATTCGCCGCGCATGACTGATCGAATTTGCACAAATTTGCACTTTCGACTTGCGCGTCAATGCTCATGAATATAAAATGAGTGACAAAATTACACATTATGTACGACTTCAAGTCTAGACGTGCAGATTACAGCAAATAATTAATTATGACGTGCAGCGCAAGTTGTCTACGTCTCTTGTCGCGGCAGTGAATAACAAGTAATCGCCATTTCCGAACCCGAACGGAGTGGAGTTTTTGTTTATCAATGTAAACAACGTGTCGAAACCGGACTGCTGCTTGACCGACATTTGATTGATAGCGGTAGCAGATAGCAATAGAAATTCCAAACGTTTTTCTGCTTATTATGGCTTTTCATACCACTTGTGGCACACATTGTTCATATTGTCGTTGTGTAAGGTCGGCCATTTGCTAATGTGCGGTTACCATTCACGAAATATGCCCATATAGAAGGTGGCATTGTCATCTCTGTGTTTTGTGCTTGTTTAAACACACTGTATTCTTTTGTGTTAGAAAAAAGTCCCAAACAACTTCGGCAAACAAGCAAATTAATAATATTTTCCCCGAATGACAATGCGCCATGATACATATCTTTACCTATTGGTCACGCTATTTGCAAAGACATCCCCGCCATGTTTTGTTGTTTAAATGTTCGACGCGGCAATTTATTGCTTTACGAATCGTCGAGGTCGATAACAAAACGTTCAATATTTATGACTTATTATGCATAATTAAATGATTAACAATTTTTCATTCAATATTTTTGTTTTAATAAGGATCGTGGCGTATATTTTAAAACTTATCTGATGCTATTAACAGAAATTGCGGACTACTGCCAATTTTATTCAATGTCATTTATTTTAAAGCGGATTTTAAGTAAAATTTATTCGGATGTTACAAACTTTTTAACTTTACTTAACTTTTACATTGCTTGAAAGCAATGCGATGAATTTTTGTTTTGTTATCAGTTACAATTTTCCTTTGACGTAGCCTGATGATAAGCGCATTATATAACAAACATGTGGTTGTCATTAATAACTACACACACTTCTAATATTGCACCAGCAGTTTCAAACGTGATTATTTTTTGTGTTTAAATTTAATTTACCCCAGCTTTTTCCGTTACGGCCCAGGACGGTACCGTTTTTCGAGTCGTAGCAGCCAGTTCTAAAGGACTCCCATGCGCTTCGTTGTGGGGGCTTCATATACGGAAATTCGTATACGCCATTTTCACTTTCCTTGCCACGCATAGCCATTTTGTTGAATTTGTTTTTGTTTGGTCCGCACTTAAATTTGAATTACAATTTCGTATTCACCAAACTTTTTCCCGCGTGCACCCACAACCGAGTCCGATCGCGCGTTTTCGTGATCGCGTTTCGACGTCGACTGCGGGACTATTTTGACTTGGCGCGTTACTTCTCTTTCAAACCAAACCGTTCGGTAACGACCACAGCGCCACCACAATCATTCGCAACTAGTGAATATCATTTGTATTTATTTTTGGCTATTTTTGAGTTAATATTCTTGATAAATAAGATTTTTAAGGAATACATTAGTTTTAAACATATGTTTTTTTCTTAATTTGTGTGAATATTATTATTTTATTAATTTTTAGGTTATTTTTGACAATTGCCATGAAATAGTGCAAAAAAAATCGGGATCAACTTTAATAGCTACTTGCCACTAGAGGTCATTACTTTCCAACATGCAATTGATGATTAACTATGTATAAAACATGTTGCAATTTTCTGAGTCACATTTCTAGTTATAATTCTCCTGATAATAAAATTATTCCAGTTATTAATTGTCACGCTCTTCTTGTGGTATAGTATTATCTTGGTTTGTCAATGATTGTTGTTTTTAGACTTATTACTCATATTTTACTTAGTTGTGCAATGTGTGTACAACTGGTTGCTCCAGCATAGGTGCAATTTGTCTCGCCTCCCGCGCCATTTTGACTGATATCGTCTATAACTGATTAACGCTATAAAACAGCAGGCAATCGTCTCATCTCAATTGATTGCTAATCGATACTTAGTGCAGGGTTCTTCTTTGCTTAGGGTTTAGTACATCAAAGTTAATCAAGTAATTTCACATCGGTGCAATTAGATTAATTGATAACATGGCAACACAAAACTGATAACAATTTATTGTTATCATTGTTAAGTATATATAATAAATTGGAACTGTGTTAGGAACAAGCAATTTCTCGTAATTTCTTCGATTCTAGAACTTGTAGTTATTAATTATTTGTTAATAAATAATTGGCACGAGTTTGCATACTTCTTGGGTATTTATATCCTATCTGTGATCTTCAAAAAATTTCCCGGGCAGACATTTTTATGTAGGTTACGCCTATACATTTGCGCAGACTTTGCAACGCAGGTATATTTTTAGTTGCCAAGTTTCGCAAGCAAACGTGCGCCAAAGTTTACGATAAAATTTGATGAGTATTTTTTTCGGTTATGCTTTATGCCAGCGGTTAAGTTGAGCTATAACATAAAACTAAAACATTCGTTTCAAGCGTTTAAAGTTAATTTCAAATTTGTTTATATATGTTTATATGTTTAAAGCTTTACTAAACTATCGAACACTAACATTACTAATATCAAAGTGAAAATTGTTTCTTTCTATTTTACTTCAATGTTTGAGTTGCAGTTCAACTTCCGAACACCACGGCAACGCATCATTTTCACATTGTTTAAAAGTAAATACTTTGATTAATGTTAACTGATTTGTTGAAGTTCTGGTTTAATCCGCTATCAACCAAACATTGCAACATTGTATGTCAATATTAGTACTTTCGTGCTAATCATAACATCAATTTTAATTTTACACATACACATGTGTCTTCTGCGTATATTCACACATCAATAATAATCTCAGAAGAATATCTTTAAAATGGCGATAAGATTGCCTGTCTAAAAACACTTCTTTCTTTCTTTCTTTCTCCGTACTTCTTTTATTCGACGGTATGGGGTATGGAACACCATAAATCCAATTGGATTTTTTTTCCGAACCGAAGCAAGTTCTTGTCGGTCCGCTGCAGTCCAAACTGGTTAGATGCGGCTTATGCGAGCACCGGTGTCGCGTCGATCAAAACGTGCTGGAACGTTTAATAACGTAAACGGGTAAACGTAAACAATGTCGTAATATTAGCATTTGTTGAAACTACGAGGTGTATATGCTACCGGAAAGATTATAAATTCCTAGCGATTCAATTTGCCATAATATTGAATTACACAAAACAAAAGATTGGTTTACCAATTTTTTCTGATAAACTTAGTAAACTTTCAGCAAACACATGTCACGTGATTCTTTGAATATGAAGTAATTCACGTTGACAAAGTGTTTTGCATGAGAATTTTGTTTAAAAGAACACAAGTTTTTGTTTTGCGTGATTTTTCTTATGTGATATATGCAACCAAGTTAACATCGAATTTAAAAAAGAAACACATATTTTACATTTTCTTCCACAAAGTTCCTTTATTGTTTCAAGTGTTAGCTTCGTTGATACATACAAAAAAACATAAACGTAAAGTTAGTGCTCAGTCAAAAATATTGTACCCCGTCACAGGACGAGCCAAGAACCATTATATCCCACCCCGAAAGACAGTATAATCACCATAAAATTAGGATTCCCAAACATGTTCATCGCACGTGCGAAAAAATATTAAAACTTGCAGTTTACAGATTCCGTGCCTTGGCCTGTTCATGCGCCTTGATGTGTTCGGCTCTCGCGCGCGCCACCTCAGGTGTTTCCGTCTGAACTATAGGCAACTGCGCTGGTGCAGGCACATGTGAGGTTATGTGCTGTGAGTATGCAATCGGTGTGAGATGATTTACATAAGCGTATTGCGGATAGCCATAACCATAGCTGTATGCAAATCCTGGAGCACCCAAATGAGCAACTGTTGGTAGCAATGCTGGGGAATGATAGGTGAGCAAAGAAGTTCTCAATATCGGCAATGCTTGTGTGTGAATAGTTGTAGTTTGCGTTTGTACGGTTGGTTGCGAACGTTCCAGGGGTAGTGGTTTTGCGCGTTGTTCATTAGCTTGTTCATCTTGTTGATGATCGAACTGAATCAATTGCTCTTGATTTTCTTGCTGTTCTTCGGCAGGTTTTGCTTTGACGCTTACGTCGATGGTGTCATGCTGGACAATGGAGGTAGGCGCAACCAGGGGCAACACAGGTGCCGGAAGATTCGTTGCCGCTACACGGAAGCCATTGATTTCATCGGAAGTGTAATGAACAGATTGCAGTTTGCCTTCGGCGTCGACATAACTGTAGCTGCCTTGAGTGATACCATCCGCAGTCTTGACCTCTGCCTTCGCCGACTGTGGATTTGAGTAACCATAGGAATATTGACCCAGTTGGTCCTGCGTATGGTATTGTGAGCTGGACAACAGCACCGGAGCAAGAAGTCCCGGCTTGGCATCCAAACCAACCGCCAAGAAGAGTATCGATGTGAATGTTAACAGTTTCATCTTCGTTTCAGCTCGCGTATTGATTGCTTGGTAATGGTAAGATGTTTGTTTGCACTTGCGGGCGCTGCTGGTGCACCAGTACTCGCCACGTCGCGCGAAAATCGTCTTCGGAGACGGCGTCCCTCGGCGCGAGCTTTATATACTGGTGCCGCACCCATATACGCACAGGGTGAGCTTTTTTTGTTGTCTTCTGGTGTCGACTGTCCACCGGCCGCTGTCCACGCCGCCATTTTGTCTTTGAACTTGAGCGAGAGGCGCGCAGCAGGGCAATTGCACCTTACTTGTTGATCATGTGCGTTCGGCCGGTAAGTACCTGCATGCGTTTTTATTTGCGCGTTATCCGTCGTTATGCGTACGGGTTGTGATACTAGTTTTCTACAGTTTGTTCACACTTCATTTTTATTTCTTTTCATATTTTGTTTTTATTACTTAGTAGTCCTTAATTTGGAATTTGTCATTTTTTTTATGTTTTTAAAAAAATCAACATTATCCTGTGTGGAAAATAAATTTTTGCAAATTTAAATTTCCTGGAGGACCAACTTTAATAAAATGGACCCAACTTTTGGAAAATGAGTTTAGGCATTTTAGCACATCATAAAAATTGGTAAGGACGGAATAAACCCTTACATCTACGAAATTATTGCTTGTATAATTAAGTTGTGAACGTACTGTATGATCAATTACCGGTGCCGTGTAAACTGCGAGCCAGAAGAATGCGACGCCAAGTTGTTGACTTTGAAAATCCATCGGCGCGATCGAATCGAAGGAAGAATCGCATCGCAGGCGTCCGCGAACTTTTTGCTCCGCGGGCGGGCTGAAGACGCGCGTTCGCACGTCGCACAAGGTCACGCGATTTTCCTGCTCTTTTTGCGCAATTTCTTCGCTTAAATTTTTCTGCGCTCGCCTTCACCTTCGACAAATAAGTCCCTGACCATCACCAATGCAATTCGCAGAAACGTATAGACGTCATACGTTGAACAGGAAATCCATTCATGCGTAGTAATTAAAAACAAAGACACGCATGCCCGAACATTTTAATTAAAGTTTTACGGAAGATTCTTTGTGCTTTTGGGAGGCGAGGGGTGTGATTGCGGAGTAATTTATGAAGACGTGTGTGTCGATAATAAGGTGGTACCAGCGCGGGGATAAATTTTATTTGCAACGCGCTCCACCCACTTTATTGGCAGTAATTTATAAAGTCGTAATGATCGAGACGGGGCAGTAAAAGCGACATAAAGTTTGCTTAGTAGAGAAACCGATAAAATTTTAGCGCATTTCGTTAAATCTGGGATTTATATTCTAGTTGTTGTTTATTTTATTGCAGCAAACATTGCAATGTTGATGATTTTTAAATGAGAATATTTTCTAAGGTTAAAATTAGAAAACAATACGATTGTACTACATAGTTTCTTTATTATTTTGACTCGACTTTCAATGCATTTATACATAAACTAGAAAAATACAATTTGCTCCATATATCTTTATATACTCAAGTAACACTCCACGGTTCGATGTATTCGATAGCAATCTCATAGTTTTTACATTTTCCTGTATATAAATAGCTCGTTTCTCGTTTCCTCGTAAGAGTATTTACAGCATCTTCGTTAACAACTACACAACAACAAAATAAAACACACAGAACATTTTCTTTCATTTTTTTTAAATTAGTTAATAAAATAGAGAACACATTTACGTCCCTAAAATTCGATTACCATCGCTGTTTACATCTTGTAAGGCACGTTTACTTCCATGATATCGACAGTAATCAGATCTGGAATCGAGTTGGTGCTTCAGGACTTAAGCGCGGTGAATATAAACAATATTCGAATGAAGTCGAGTCGTACCCGAAAAGACTCGCGAGAAGACTATCTACCTACATGTACTTACAGATCTATAAATTATCAATGCACCACGCATGCGGATTGCTTCAGATTTGTGCGTGTTGTTTACCTGGGAATGTGTGATATGTTGTATTCTTCGGTTTTCTCCATGATTATACTGATATACATGCGGTGGCGGAGGGCTTAGTCTATGAGAAGCTCGAAGTGCACCGAACCGGTCCGATCGGCCCGACTGTGCTTGACGTTCTTTGCCCACGCCTTGCACTCAATGTTTATGACAATCCCGGCTGGAAAATATTGATATAAATTTAGTTTACAATGTAAATTACATTTTTATTGAATGATAGAGTAGGGTCCTTACCAAGAGGTCGTTCGAATTGTACGGCTACCAACGGACTGAGGTAACCCTCGGTGTTTTCGAACGGATAGTAATATCCTGGGAATCCTTGCACCTTCGGGAAGTAACGAATAGGACCGAGGTATTCAATGTCTGCGGGGTTTTCACCCTCGCAACTGATCCAGATGGTGTCTCTCTGTTTTGGAAAATATTCCATTAGATTATTTATGCTATGATTATCATACAATTGTAAATTTTGCTACCTCCTCAGGTTTTACGCTGCGAATGTGTTGTTTTAATTGATCGGGCATTTCTTCGGGTAAATCATTGGGATCGTTGTAGAATTGTGGAATCCAGCCATAGATACGGTTTAACTTAAGGAAGATGCATGGCGCGTTGCGATGGTAATTGAAGAATTTGTCAGGACTGCACTCTTCCCATAGACGCACATCGAAGTCACACACTTGACCGCGTTGCGGGGGATGCGTGTAGCTGCATCTACGAATTGAGGCGGTACCCTTTTCTGTTTTACCAGGAGTGTAGTATTCTAAGGAGAAAATTTATTTTTTGTATTTTATCACTGACTAGAATAAATGTATAAATATAAGCAATATATCAATTGGTCTGTATCAAAACAAAAATCAGGAATGTGATTGTTTTTCATTTTATGGGATATTTTTTGATATTTTTCTTACTGTCTAAATATCCCATTAGATTGTCCACCCACTTTACGTAGTTTGTTTTGTTTGATCCTTCGAACCAGATCAACGTCGACTCGGCGTTGTCATCCGTTGGCATGGGTCGGAAACCCAAACCAGGATTGGTCCCGATTATGGAACCTTCCATCTGCCATTTTGGAATACGTGGGTCTAGTGTTTGGAAGAATACCCACATGCAGATCGCTACTAGGGCGGCCAGCATTCCATAGAAGACCATGTAGAACAAACTAATTTTTGCTATGAAAAACAAAACAAAAAAAAGGTAACATTTTGTTTATTCATAAACAAATAACTATTGCAAATAATGACCAACGCATACATATAACTTGAATGAAGTCTGTTTAAAAAGTTCGAGTGTGAAGAGTTGCCTACAGTAACAACGCGGTTCACATTTGTTGTGATCGTCCATCGTTGGTCCTAATTAAGGCGTCGACGCTAATAAAATAAACAAAAAGCACGTTTTCCTCACTGTTTACTCATCGATTTCCGATAATTCCTCCTTATTCCTAAACATTATAATTCCTACTAAATTTTACGCGTTTTAAGACAATAGTATTAAATATAAACGACAATTGTACAAGAAACAGGTGTCATCAGACAGTTTACCATCAAACGCACATTTTATTATCACATTCCTTCAATTTCTACCAATAACAACAATAATATTTCCCGCCTAAGTTATAAACTATTCATCTATCCCCTAAATAAATTCATTTTTATTGCCTTACCCCAACTTCTTTTATCTCTTCCGTAATAAGTCCCATCTTCCTTGTTGTAGCCCCACCTATGGCCCTTCTTGGAGAATTTAGGTGACGCCGTCATTGTTACCTTACTGTCTCTTTAATATTTAATTATTCTAAGTGTAAACGCGGTATAAAAATTCGTACAAAACCTAAGACTATCGAAGCGTATATAAAGTTTATAAAACTAGTGGACGGAATGCATTTGGCGTGGCTTCGGTAAACTTCACTGCACTAACCAACGTTACTCATACTCTATCTAATGAAAACAGGTAGGCGAGGTCGGGCGTCCAGCGTTGCCATAGTAGCGTTTATATATACGTGGGTCAACGGCAGTGCTTTTTCTTTCTTGCACTTGTATAAGCGAAAAGCTGGATTAAGTGGGCTTAATTTATGACTCAAACGGACATAAACTATCATATCTGCATTAAAATTCGTGATAACAGCGAGTTTAACAATAGATTCACAATAATATACTTTCGCATTAGTATAAATTGTATATTTATGATTAAATGGTAAATATCTTGTGGTAAATGAAATATTACTTAAGTGAAGTTAATGTAGGCAACCCAAAATGTAGTATTTAATTTTGCGTAGTTTTAGTTGCCTATGTTTTGCTTTTAGTTTTAAACTTACACCAACTGGTAAGATTCCTTCCCATGACCTGCCTGTTCACAGGATTCCATATAAACCTTTTGAGTTTCTCCTTGTCCGAAAGCTTCATATCTTCTTGTTTGATGTAGTAAGAAGTTTGCATGTGCAACAGGTCCTCCTGCTTCTCCACCACGGACCCCTGCCGATTCTTGATGCTGTTATTTTGCGGCATTTTTGCTGTAAAATCTAAAGTTTCCAAAGTTTTTTTGTGCGCGCACTTTTCGTCGTATCACACGCGCAAATAAAAGTGCGTACTGCGTGCACGCACCGTACACCCGCAAGTTCTTCTTGCCCGGAGAAGGTCGTCGGGACAACTGAATGCGGCTCGCCTGGCATTCAGTGCTCGCGATTATGTCGCGCCCGCCCGGAAATTAAATGATTTCGTTTGCTGCCCGCGCGCTATATGAAGCACATCCTTGTCGCTGGCCGGCCCAAATTATCCAAATTGCCTGCCATTGTTGCGTTGCATAACCATCTCTTTACCCGCCTACTGGACCTACGCGAATTAACACTTGTGTTTCTTCAGGGGACTATTTCTGCAAATCGATGGAAAATAACAGCGATGGCAATTTAGTTGCACAATCTGTAGTGGTCCACCTTCAGACTGCTGAAATTTCACCTAGTGATAACATGATAAGCAGATTTATGGATCAACATGCACGAGTTAATGTCGCAACATTTTTGCATGCGCTGATAATAATGCGTCTGAACCAGTGCGCTTCACCTTGATGTTAGCAGAGCTTAACAATGCGCCATTGTCAACATGGCGACCATTTTCCACCTGTGATTAAATTGCAGCCAGAAAATCAGTTTAAACAGGTTTTAATTTAATTTTATCTGAAATTTTGTTTTAAACTTAATTCTGGTAGGTGTAAATTAATTATGTTAATTTTTTCAGCTTTGAAGTTGTTGCAAGAAACGAGATCATAAATTGTACAATAAAAACACGCGTCTGCCATTACGATTACGCCACGTTTGTCGCCGATTAAAGAGACGGCCATTGAAGAAACTGCGTGACCATGGCACACACGTCCACTCACGACGCAAACGTTTATTTTTCTCATGAAATTGATGCCTTACTTAAACAACGACATCCTGCCAATTTGCCAACGCGCTTTCAGCCATTGCAGAAGCATCATGTCTATCGACACGGCTCGTACAAGATGACAAAACGCAAAAATTGACTCATCTACCAGATTATTATTAAATAAGAACAAATGTATCTCACTCGATATAAACTGTGAGTTTAATATTGGAATTAGCTTTGTCCTTGATGTTCCCTGCGAGTAGGGTGCAATGGATTTGAATGACATGTCCAGCTGCAAGAATATTAATTTATTTTAATATGTACTAGATATTTTTGACTTTACATTACCTTGGATGTTATTCAGTTTAATGGCAACCAATGGATTCGTTTTTGTTTCTTTTGTGGCGGGAAAATGTTTAACATCGAAGGCTTGTTCGGGATAATATTTAATATTTCCAAGGTATTGTTGATCATAAAGAGTTTCTCCGCGGCAATCCACATAAACGTTCTAAATTAGAAGAGAATTGGGGATTTATAAATAAATTTTTATATCATGCTGCTATGTTGTGAGTTATGCTAGCAGCTGTTTCCGTGGTGTAGTTGGTTATCACATCCGCCTAACACGCGGAAGGTCCCCGGTTCGAACCCGGGCGGAAACACTTTTTGTAAACGTTTTTTACATTTTACAAGTACAAATATTAACCAAATAGTGAATTTTAATTGTAATCAACTGTTTTTAAAGAACTTTAGAAGTAAATTAACACTAATGATAATTTGGGTTGCCTATATATTTTCCGCTGCGCGTTTTTAGAGAATAAAATTATTTCTGATGAATTATTGAATTTCTTACATGGCTTGGAGTCTCGTTAAGAATTTTCTTCACTAATTTCTTTGAAATTTCCGGCCCAAATTCGGTATTTTTTGGGATGGGCGCAGGCATCCATGTGAATAGCTTAATGACAAAAATATTATTCAAATATGTTAATAATCTCACATAAAATACTATTTTGCTATCCACATATTTACATTATTCAATTTTAAAAATATGCATGGCTTATTCTTATCATAACCATAATCCTTGTAAGCACATGGTCCAAATTCAGCCCGTTCAAAGGGACATGGCTTTTGAAGCAGTTTCTGTTGGTGACAAGTCAATTCTTGTTCTATAACACGTCATCATAAATTAATTAAGTACACATTTTATTTCGACAAATAGAATTCATTACTTGCAAGGAATCCTGTTATATCATTAATACTATCCTGCGGTTTTCGGTAATTGCCTGGACCTGTAGACTTGTACCAAAGTAACATGTCACCGTTTTTGGTATCCAATGGAACAATCGCTAAAGCTATGTAATATATAATAATTTCGATTATGGTCTCTATTTTAAAATGAGTATAATTTATTACCAGGATTCGGATCGGGCATAATGGTAATCTTCAAAAGAGCAGGCGACTTATTCTCACTGTCTCGCCATATGAATGTCAAAATATAAAGCATGAACACAGCCAAGAAAATAATAATAATCCAGAAGTAATATGTACATATCGCACCTGTAAATCGAAATAATAATTTAAATTCAGAAACAATAACAATATTGTCATAATTTTCAACTTACACCAATTAGAAATACTTCTGTTACAATAGGCATTGTTTTCATTGTTGTAAACATACTTCTTAAACTTGCTCCAACACTGCCCGCGTGCAGGCGGCTGCTTCTTTTCTAAGCTCGGTGTGCGGGGAATCCCGGACGAGTCCGATGCAATCAAATCCAAACCGGAAGTACCTTCCACATCTATCACAGAATCAGCATCCACCAGTTTGGTATACGCAGAAGCTTCTGGTTTATGCGATTGTGGCACGCCTTTGAGCAACGCCAAATTTTCATCATCTTCTTGCGGCTGTTGTTCTTCTGCGACACTTATCCGATGTGGTCTGAACTGTTCAACTTGCCCACGGAGCGGTTGCTTTTGTTTGGAATTCTCTCGTGATAAATCATCAGATTGATTGGGTTTCGGTTGAGATCCACTTGGAATTTGTTCCTGAGAGTTTGGATCAACTGGGTTTTCATCTGCATGGTCTTTTTCTTCTTGCTTGTCTTCAGGTGAAGGTTTCTCGTCGTCTGACATGATTAGTAGCGAAATATTAATTATTAACAAGTATCATTCACCGATTACAATTATAAGTCATGACAACAATATACACCTACTTTGATTTATTTAAAATCTATTTATTTTATACCAACATATATAAAAACAGACTGTCTGTGTTCTCCTGTACCTTCAGCCTGCGACCCAAATAATTGACAAGATAATTCAACAACGTATCCAGCTAAAATTCTTTTTATAGTTTCATAGAACTATTATTAACATTCATAAGTAAATAATTACGTTGTATTTGTTTCAATTGAATTGCAATTGTCGGATTTGCATCAATTGGTCCCTGAGAAAATGGAAACGAAGAATCATTATAACACGGTTCCGGGTAAAACGTAACTTTTCCAATTTTCCTCTCATCATAGGACGTTGCACCAGCACAAAACATGCACAATGTCTGTAATAATTGCAAAATATTTATTAATTTGCTATTTACCAAACTTCTACCATTTTACCTCTCTGTTGAGATCAATGTTGTCTCTTAACTCTTTAGGCATTGATGTGGGTACCTTGTGCATTGAATGATAAGCATCCGGCCGCCAACCACTCCTCTATACAAACAGTTAATGAAAATATTGTTTTATTTTTACATTAAATTTGTAACTTGCTGTGTTTAACTTCATAAGTAAACATGGCTTCTGATCATCATATCCAAAGTTACCCCTACCGCACGGCCCGTAGAAACTAGGATGAACATGACAAGCTTTATTTTTTTCTTTAGCACATAAGGTCGCTTGTGATTTGTAATATTGTCTTATTGCATCAACATATGAATCACCTCGACGATTACTTGGTGTGTCTGTGCCGTGCATTTTATACCAGACCAAAGGATGAGGATAATTATTAACGGAAAGTGGCACAAAAGTGAACGCTTAAAAAAACTCAATTGTTAATAAATAAATTAAGCATTCTGTTAAGGTTTAGATTTGATTCAAAATGGCGGTATGTTTTACTTGGAATGGCGGACACGTGGAACTTTTTTTCGGCTGGTAATAACGTATCCGATGCATAGAATGTCATAGATCTATTGATGCCGTAAAAGTAGCAAAAAAACAACAGGAAAAGAATACCAAAGAAAAACGCATAGTAGAATATTAGGGCTCCTAAAATTAATCGGTTAAAATAACAATTTAATGTAGTTTTATTAATGTATTTACCCCAATGTTTGCCTGCGCGGTTACACGATGTCTTATTTTCTTTGTTATAAAGAAACTTACGAAATCTTTTACATTTGCCCAGTTTCTTGCGTTGCCGAACTGTATCATAATCTTCTTTGATGCGATTCGAGAGACCTTTCGAATCGCGATTCCTATGGGCATCCTGTTCGAGTATTCGGGCATCTTTTATCTCATAATTGTAAAAATCCTATACAAACACAATAAGGAATTGATTATTTAAATTGAATAAATAGACTTAGAATATACTTACTTGACCATTTACAGTTTTAATAGGCATTTATAACATGCGATAAAGTTGATAACTTTTGAAATTGTCTTTTTGACATTATGTATCATCATGCTGTTGTTTATTAGGTTGCCTATGGTAAAACTCTTGTAGCAGGAAAAGTCGCGTGACTCGCGAGCGCGTGACACTCGCCCGACTTTGCAAAACTATCGAAGAGGTAAACACGGCCGCGTGTTTTACACAATCCAATTCGTGTGAATACAAACGAGAGCGTTTCCCTGCTTTCAAACATATTGGAAATGTAACACACGTTCGGCAACGTCACGAACTCGCCCGAAGTCCCAAACCTTGCAATCGCCGCAGTTCGCAGCGCGCCGCGCAGTCCCGCTCAACACCCGCTCACGTAAGCCGTGTGTGTACACCGCCGCAATCATTACCGCGTCCCGCTCACACCGCCGCCGCTTGCATGTGCGTGTGCGCCGAGAGCCGTCTCCTCGTCAGGCTCTCCTAGACTCGCCGCGAATCAGTATCGCAAGTACGACGGGTCCGGCCGCCAGCTGAGAACCGTGCGCCCGACAAGAAGCTGAACCAAAAAAAAAAGAGGCACCAAAGGCGCGCAGCGCGCAAGGGCGACTACAATCAAAACGCGTATTATATCGTCGATGTTGGTAAATACGACCGGGCGACGCGCGAGTGTACAACCCAAGATTCGTTGACCAGCGGCGCGCAGTGGGATTATCGACGTGCGCGTGCCGCGGCCGTGCCGGAGTAACCCTTCGCTTGTGCGCGTGGAATTTTGGCGGAACTCTGTGGTAGTGATACGTGCCGTGCAAATGCAGTCGTTTGCGAACATCGGACACACTCGTCATTATTAATCCATTCGATCGACGTGAGTATACACAACCAAAAATCACTTCACAACGCCTGGCAGTCAATTACATTCAATTTTGTATTCGGTGTGCTGTGTTGTGTCAACTAGTTTAACCCAAGAATGCAAACAGTAGATCTAAAAATGTTGAGACTTACGCAACTAACGTACATTTCTTCCTGCACAGGTTTAATCATGTTTCAAGATTTGACATAAGCAGGGGCGTGTGGACGCCGTGTCCGACGCAACGCGACTCTTCACACTCACCACAAGAACTACGACGCGTTTGCTATTTGAGGCGCGCCCAGGGGGAGACCTGCAAGTGGTGACATGCCGACGATGCCGTCGGTCATGGAGCACGAGGCTGAACACCCGGCGTTTTCGCCGCACGTGGATGTAGCTCGAGTGCCGCAGTTAGCACCGGCATCGCCTGCTTCCGCCGGTAAACCATTAAGAACCGCCGCCGAGGTGCAGACGTTGCTGACACAAGGCAAGAACACAGAGGTGAAGATGCTGTTACGTACGAATGCCTGGCCGGCTGATCACCCGGTGCGCCGTGAGCTATGGTCCGCGTTGTGTCTGCAGCATCACAACAGCAAGAGCGATATGGCCGATGGGTTTTATTGGGATATGGTGACGCAGGTGTTTGGCTCGACGGAACTGCCGGACCGGCCTATCAGTCTGCCACCCTTTGTGGAACCTGGGCACTGCCACAGTTATCATCTTACACAGAAGGGCAGTAGTATTGCTGATCGCGTTGTTTCCGTCTTGGGCTATGCGTGTCCGGACATCGTCTACAGTCCGAGTATTTATCCCATTTGTGCGCTGCTTCTGCATTATTTAAGTGGTGAGTTGCACATTTGATTTTTATTTGATGTTATCTTTCAATATTGTAAATATTTGATTGATAGCACGAGGAGGAGATATGAATTTACTCCTTATATCATAATTATCTTCGTAAAAATACACCCTGTATATATCAGGTGATTACTTTGGTACTTTTCTGCAAATTTCTAATCAAATCTATGCTGAAACATGTTTCAACTTGTTTCATCTTGCAAGAACTGCGCCGTAATGCGTAACCTGCATTATATTTTCCAGAATGTTCGACAGGTTAATTCTTAGGGTATTTATTTAAAAACTAGCTTTTGCCTGCGATTTCGTTCCGGTTGTGTTTAATCAAAATGTAATTCGTTTTTCTCTCTTGTTCTTGATATAGTATGGGTCAATTCTCTCAATAAGATTCGCTATTTTATTTTAAAGAAATTAATTTAAAGAATGGCTAATAATGCACTTTAACGCGCCATCTCGAATTCAACTATTTAACTATACTATGATTTAATCTTAATGCCAACTTTTATCTTATAGAAAAAGGCAGTTTTTTGGGTTTTCCCGGCAATTATTCGAATTTTTCTCGTCGTAAAAACCATCCTTGGACATTAACGAACATTTAAAAAAAGAATTGGGCAAATTGGTCTAGGCGTTGTTGAGTTATGCTCTTACCAACCATTTTTGCGATTCATTTTTATATTATAGAAGATAAGGATACAATAGAATTTAAATATTTCAGCTATCTTTTAATATATTTATGTTCCTAGATATTTAATTTCAAGTTGAGGTTGTAATTGACTTTGCTATAATTAAACTCTTTTACTATTGGCATTCCTCAGGGCTTTGTGTAAACAAATGCTTTACCACAGCTAGAATATGTAAACAATTATTCCGGCTGGAAAATGCACCGCGCGCGCGCGCGCTATCGAATTCCCTCTCATGTTGGCCGCTCGAAAAAAGCCAGGCATCATATAATAAATGTTTCCGAACAATGGTTAACACGTTGGCATCGTTATCAGTGTTGTTATTAGTTATTGACATCAGGAAGACAGCGATAGCGCATCATTTCTCGGCACATGCACGTCCAATGTTTCAATGTTCCGCGTTTATTGGGCCGTCAGCGCGCGCACACAATGCTGATTAAGGCGTTAAATCATGTTTTGTTATACTATTAAGGTTTCAATGGCGCGATAATAAAGTTAATGACACTTGAATTTATTGGTGAAGATGTTGCGTATGTCACTCTTGAAATTTTTATTTTCGGCTTTTCGATTGGTTGTGTTTTGGAATTTTCCAATCTTGAATCATCAATATTCCAGGATGCAACCTGTTGATGCGAGCACATTGCAATGTCGAACCTAATTTTCGTATGTTGAGTGTGTATGTGCGGTTTAACGCGGTGGCATATTTTTATCGGGATGTTTGTGCGTCGTTTGTTTGTACAGACTGCGCGTTAGCGCGTCGGGCGGTGTGCTGTTGCAATTGACGAATGATTAGCGGCATTGTTTCATTGCATGCGAGGCGGGTGTAATGCGATGCCGCCGCCTCATTCGTGTTTTTCGTAGATCTTGCTGACTGGATGCATGACGGGAACGCGATTCATAATTAGTTTTATTACTTGTTTTTTACGTTTATTACTTGTTTTGTCATTTGGAGGCTTCTTGAATACCGAGAATGTGGTGTTAACACTAAATTTTGATTTATTTAATTGTTATTTTCACTTTTCAAGTGGAACAATGAGTAATAACATATTTTTACATTGAAAACATGCGTACGTCATAATTTATCAATGTCATTGAAAGAAGGAAGACGTGCTTAAATCAATCGTTTCCTGCATGTTAACACTCGGCGAAAAATCTGATCTTTCTGATTGAAATGGCATTCGCGATTCGCTGCCGATGCGAAGATAAAAGACAAGACGAGTAATTACACGCGGCATGGCAAGTAAGCGGCGCTTATTAAATCCGAAACGCTTTACACCGCCCGTCACTAGTTGTATGGTCTTGCTCGGTGCACAAATTGCATTGCGACTTTTGCATCCATCGCCGATTAAAGAGTGCAATCGAGATGTAAAACTTTCACCGCACTGCATTGCGCGTGCACTTGGATTGCATGCTTTCTTGAACTTAGCCAAGCACGACTTGTTGAAAAATAAAGCACACTAACGAAATCAAACGCGGAGCGAACATTGAAGAAATTTTCAATAACTCGTTCGTGTTAATAGAAAAAAAATACGCCGTAAAACACGGTTAAATGTTTGCACCAAAATACATTTAAATTATTGGCTCTGGTTACCGGTTACCTAGTAAATTTTATTCGTAGATTTTCGCCAAATGTTTTAAACTTTCTCGTAAACCTAATTTTAGCCATTTATTATCCACACTTAATCTTGATTGAAACGGATCCAAGCTGCAGCGCGACGACATTTAATTACAAAGTTTTCATTATAGTGGAATAACAAACATAAATTGCTCAAAGTTGTTATTAAGTTTAATGTGCGTATATATAATGAGAGTGAGTGTGTGTCCATTGAGAGTTTGTTTATGTTTGTTGTGTCTGACCGCGCAATGCGACTAGTGAACATTTCGTAACGCCAGCGATGCGAATAATGTCAGTATAATATTTAATGATTTCAATTAAAATTTGAAAACAAACATGAGCACGATAGCAGCGCGCACGACGTTATCAAAAGACTCGGCGCTTTTTATTACGAACATTAAATATTCAATCAGTGAATGGTGGGTCATCAATAAAGAGAACATAGTACGTGCAGTAATGCAGGTGTACGAAAATGTTTTCGGTGTGTGTAGGTACTATTGTTACGTAATAATGGCGTAATGGGAAGGTTTTACTACTATACAATTATTAGGTTTTGGTCTGGGTATACTATTCGTATAATATGGATTTTTCATCAAACATTTATGTATGTATGCGCTCTGCATGAATGATAAATATTAAACTCGTATTGATTTTATGAGGTTGACGCCGAGGTATTGTACGATTGGTTTTTTCCAGCGGTGTTTATAAGGAAGTAGCTTCTATAATTTTGTACGCGTTTATTTTAATATAAAAGGGGTTAAACTAATTATTTTCTTTTTTTTTATGCGTATTATGGGCTGAATCAGTCGATGTGTCAATTTTGATTTAAAAACATGGGAAGTAAAAATAATGCATTTTTCTAATTCCATTTAATTTAAAACGGCAGTTTTTTCCGCGGTTTTTAGACACAAAAAGTTGTACTTTAAACACGAAACATGAAAAAATGTAAAAATGTATGGCATTTTATATGGTCTTGTGCTGCACCGTAGGCAAATGCACAGGCATAAGCTCCGTCAAGTGAATATTGCCTGTGAGTAAAGTACTTTATTCAAAGTACCATTTTTTGCGTGGAAAAACTGACTCATTAAAGTTGGAAGTAGAAAAATAAACAAACATACTTACATTCGTACTTATTATATTAATTAACATTTTAAGTCTCTAAAAATTTATAAATTTATTTTCTGGCTTACTATTAAAACATATTTTTGCAATATTAGGAAGTAAGTATACTTAAGTGTACTTAATTTTGTTGATAATCATTGGTAATGTTACTAAAACACCGGAAAATGATATATTTAAATATGCAATTTTTGTGGTAGGTATATAATGTGAGAATGTTGTTTACTTTCTGTGGAAATTATTTGATGACACAAAACTGTGTCACGTGTGTCATCGAAAAATACTGCGCACGTTGCGTCTTTGCATAAATCTAAACCAGTAAACAGGAAACTAATGTCCTAAGAATTTAAATTCTAAATTTTCAGGCATCGTATTTTTATATTTTACGATTTAACAATTAGTTCACCTTGAAATTTTCTGAAAATTAGGTCTCTTACTCACGCTAGAAACCAAGCGCAGGCCGAGAGGTGGTTTCGGAGAAACGCGACGAGAACGAAGAAATTGAAATGTTTCTATCGATAATTAATCATACGGAAAGCGCGCTGGCGTTCGTCATCTATGCGTAATTAAGCAAATTGTGAGCGGAAAGTAGCGTTTACATGAAGTGACAAGGTGTGGACGTAATTTTTTTTACGACATGAACTGGAAAGTCATAAAAAGTATCTAATTTTAATTTCACCAACGTATCATAACTTATCACACTGTAAGGAAATTAGTTCTTCTCGTGAATGAAAGAGCAAATATTTACCGACTTGTTTATAAATGTGTAGTAATATAAACATGTGGAAATATCTAGTAGGTATGTAATAACAAGCGATTACGTTTTCAATTTCTTTGGAATTTGTAGTGTTTATTCAGTTTGTTTAAATTGGCATTAGAAAAAGTGCTTTTCATTTCTTTTCCTTCAACAAAACACGTTAAATTAATAAAGTTTATTATCAACACACATTGGGCAAGTGCTTGCGAAATAGCTCAATTCGCGCGAGTACGCGTATCTTATGCTCAATTTAATTGTTTCCAGTTTAAAAATATCCAGGTATGTTGAATAATAATTACTACGTAAAATGCCAATTATGCATTTATGTTTACATTATTTTTATGGTAATTGGTAATCATTTAATTTTGCAATGAAACATGTAATAATTCATTAACATACAATTTCGCTATATTTATTTATCATCATAATGGAGACATCCATAAATATGATACTAATATCTGAAACATTTAAAATTACGTCATACGAATGTGTGAAATTATGTTTACGGTCGAAAAGCAGGAATTTCGTTAATGACTCATTTTACACATTGTAAAATATTTCTTTCTAGATTATACTTAAATTATATGGAATTACAACTTGTAATCACCGAAGAGAGTTGTGCAATATTTAGTAAATTTATGTATTAATATTAATATGACTGTAAGCGTTACTAATCGTGTAAACTTGATTGAACAGGCGACGATGCAAAATCAATGTCATGCTTGATCAAGCTTTATAAGCCGGTATTGTGTTTATTCATCGTCATGTTAGTTCTAAAAACAATTATATTCCTATTGAGAACCAATTCAGTATCTGTTTGG